ATGTATCAAAAACAAACCACTAAGTCAGCACAAAAAATATCTTAACAACAGCATTTATAGTGTTCTTCATTTTACTTCAAATTTTTATAAATACTTCAAAATATGTTCATTTCAAATAATTGATAGCTTCCTTGATTCAGTAGATATTATTCAGTTAGTTTCTGAATATTTTTGTTTTGAGTGAATCTAAATATATTTGCATCAGACTTGAATATGATGCTGGGCATCAACAGAACCCAACAAAAGAATGGATCATGAAGGTTCAGTTGAAAGAACATTGGCTATCAACCAGTTTGCAGCCAAAAACATATATTCAAGAAGACACCTCAAAAACATGTTTCTAGATTTTTTTCAGAAAAATTTATTGTGTAGATTTGATGGCAAAGAAATCACATAATCCTTTAAGAGCACTATACTGTATGCACAAGAAAATGTAATGCATTTTTGCCCATATCTGAACACATCCGCTACACACTCTGTAAAGATGAAGAAGAAATAGAAAGCAAGTAATGATGAAGAGCGTGTGAAGACAGCTTCTTAATCAAAATATTATTTCAGAATGACTGAATGAATGAACAGAACACTTTCTTTGCTGCTTTTCAGCGTTCACAAGGTTCAATCAAGATTTCCACAGCCAAACCCCCTTATTCCCACCCAACCCAAATCCACTCAATGACATTTAATCACTTCAGAGCAGGAAACAAAGCACAAATTGATAACAAAAAATAAAAGAAAATACAATCCATGAAATACAACTGGATATCTGACATGTATACATACACCCATTCATTCCCTGCTGACATTGGAAACAAAATATATGTGAAAATTAATTAAAAGCACAAGGTCTTCAGCAGAGAGCAAAAAACCTTCTCTGGATTTTTCAAATTTCACTCACTCAAAAACATATGACTCACATTAACAATAAAAAATCTATATATAGAAATGCTTATAACCTTTACGCATTGGTTTATCATCAGCAAGCACCAGAACAACAGCAACTGCATTAAAGAAATTACTTGATATGCCTTGGCTCAATTTGTAGCTCTATTTACCCACGCACTGAATTGAGATGAAATTCAGCGCAGGCAGAAATTCTCCTGAGGACCTTCAGCCGTAAACCGTTATGAAATTTGATAAATACTGAACATGGCTGCGTGTGGATGATGGAGATATTATTCAAAGTCCCTCGATATTCCGTGCATGCAAAGCATTACAAAAGACATTAGGCCGAAATTCCTTGATGAGGAAAAGGGGTGTTGGTGACATACGCAGGGAACCTGATGAGATCTCAAGCAGGGATTCTTTTCTCCTTTTTTTTTTTTTGCAAGGAGGGAAAAAATGCAATTCCGCAGGCATATAGAAAGTAATGGGTTTTCAGAGGCCTCAATTCCTTGCATGACGAGAGGCGGGGATAGAAAAAGGAATGATCGAGGTCGAACGAGGTCCTGATGACACCAATTATAGCTCACACAAGGTCTCGCAGTTTTTCTATAATGCAATTTTTTTGGCAGTTGAAAAAAAAGAGAGAAAATCGTCGATGAGAAACCGCAGTTTAACAATTTTGAATCTAGCGATGTTGAAACATAAAAAAGCAACCGATTTTTTATCATAGTTCCTCGTACAAAAATACAATCATTGATTAGTTTGACATAAAATACTTCAGAAGAAATCATGTGTTAGACATTTTTTTTTACCCACGTCCACAGGTATACTCGCATTTTTAAAAATTCAGACAGTTTTCCCATTGGTTTGACACATGTTTCAGAATATTATATTTATTTGTCATCGCAATATATATTATTACAATTTCCAATTATTCTGGTAGGACACAGCAAAATTACCCAAGAGGATTTTCAAGCAAAAATGTCAAATTCGGTCGCTGCTGACCATTTTTTGCATTTATTTTCAAACTTTGGAACCACTGAATCAACTCGCTTTGAATAATAATAATAAGGATGAGAAAAAAGGAATTTGTGATAAATTTAATGAGATTCTGTTGTCGACAGAGACTCTATTTATTTGATGCTTTTCGCAACCAACAACTATATATACAAAAATAACGTGTCAATCCCTTTCCTCATACTATACATATATTCGCCAAAAGCAAAGTGAATCCAATTTCCCTGCATCTGTAAAACTCCCATTTGTCATCGCAAACGCATCAAAGAGAGCTTTTGAAAAGGCACAGGGAAAACTCGGATTTGATCCACATGATGCTTCAATAGATTCAATAATCTTTCGGATAAGGGGAAGGGGAAAGATCTTATTGGAAATAGGAAGGCGCATACAACAAAAGGCACTCAGCAAAAAGGCCCCCCTTTTGTTGTATGTGTATCACATCAAAAGGCACCGACGAGGTTCCAATATATTCCTACAATGCTTTTCGAAAAAACCTACGGGGGATCCATTTTCACGGCTTATGCACCTGATAATAACCGATCCAGGAATATTATGGAGATATGCGAGGAAAATGTGTCAAAATGAGGTTGAAATATGCATTTATTATCTCTGCAGAAATTTCCATTTTTTTTGTTGAAAGGAATATAATTATGATAAATCAAACAGACTTTTCCGAATAAAGGCTAAAATTAGTAAAATCACATGTAAACTCAGCAAATATTTCAAATATTATTCAAGAACAAAATTGTTGTAAAGCTAATATAATAGAGTAAACAAACATTTCCTGCAGATTTTCAAATGAAATCTGACTAGAAGAAGTAAAATCAAATCTTTATTGAAAGAGCATATGCGAATTTTAAGTGAAAGAAATATATTTAAATGAAAAAAATATTTTGAAATGGATTTCATTTCTCTTACAGAAATTTCCTTTTTGCTGTTGAAATTCTATTGTAAGGATTCATAAGAAATCAAACAGACTGTCAGGAAAAAATCCAAACCAAGTAATTTTTGTACTAATCTTGAAAGGCGCCAGACACAATTATTGACGCATTTTTTTGCAAGCCTGAGAACTGAACCCAGGTTTGGTTCCGAGGCTCTCCCAAGGACACTTCCTAACTGCCAAAAAGGAGAAGAATGAAAGTGGCCAAAATCCGGCCTTCATTTCTAATTCAAAGAGTTGTTGTGGTGAACTAAAAACCACAAGTTGGTCACTCTGCGTTGAACTCTCAGACCGTGTAGATCTTTGTAGACCTCGTGTGCAAAATCAAAACTATCAAACCCAATTCCAAAATAGGTATTCCCATCTGTTTATACTTGTGAAGATTCTTCAGTTGTTCTGACTTGTCTTGTCTTGATTAATATACCAATTTACAATAGGACAATAAGTCCCGGCCGCAGCCCGGCTGCTCAAATTGTATTTTATTTCCATCCATTCATCTAAAATCAGTTACGAACTTCGTAAATCTTTTCACCTTTTGTGTGGTAAGGGAAAATTCCTCTGTTTCTCTCTTTTTCCTCACACAGACTGTTTTCAATGAAGGACTGAGATAAAATTGAAATCACATGTTTTGACAAAAAACTAATTTTTTAAATATTATTCATTATTTGAAAAGCATTTCCTGTGTTGCAAATGAAATTCAGCCAAACAATTAAAAGGATGCATTTGAAGGGCGTCTGAATTCAATTTCATTCAAAATGTTGTTGTTTCATATGGAAATATAGAATAATCGTAATTTAAGTTATTTTCTGGAGGGTTTTAAAAGAAATTTGCAACTCAAATTAGGAAAAACTTTACATTGAGAAACATTTTAGAAAATAAGGATAATTGTGTACAAAAAAACAGATGCTGTATTTTCCTTGATTGAGAACTCCTCACAAAAACATTGAGCAATCAACTCAAGGAAAATGTGTTAAAACTTTTCTCTCATTGATTTGTATTCATTATAGCTCTGAGGGAATAAATATCTAAAACCCCTGTAAGTTACTTGAAAAACAATGCAAAAAGGTGGGAAGAATTTTTTTCTTATCATAATAATCTATTTTTAGTTTGATTCTTCATTTGAATAATCAGCAGACTTCATGTACTGTAATGAAGAAGCACTGTACTTTTTTAGCACTGAAATCAAAATTTAAAATCCTGTCTGAGTATTTTTGGTCATTCTTGAACATGCCGGAAAACCCCTTAGATGCAATGTTGAAAACATGCAATCCAAAGTTTTGTAACTGAAATCAATTCTAAATCATGTTTCAGATGCCTTATTTTTCAGCTGACTTTATGTTTTGAAGCTGGGCTTCTAACTTTCTGGAGTGTGAAGTTTCTGTTTTCATCTGTTTTTTTTTATTGAACTTGAAAAAATCAGAGTTAGAAGTTTCCTCTCAAATTACTATTGATATATTTGGATACACGGTATAGCAAAAACTGAAATATACAGAATATCACTGCACATTCAAAATCCTTCAAATTGATTTTTTTTTAAAATTTGGGGACAAAAAGGAGATGTCAGCATGAACTCTAATTTTTTATTTATTTATACCTCATCACAAAAATGTTGGAGTATAGCCAACAAGATTCAAATGTTCAGAGATATTTTCCCCATTTGAATTTCAAGAAGGAAGTTGTGCCAGATAAGAAGTATGAAACATGTTACTCACTTATTGCTATCAGAAATATTCATATTTAGAACTTCAAACTAGACACTCAGGAATGTCTTCCATTCAATTTTTCGGTAAAATATGACGGAATTTTCTGTTGAATAGGGGGATTTTATTTGAATAGTGTTGCTGAAAGATTACTTTAAATACATTCTGAGGTTTAAAAAAAGGGGGGAGCCTTTTAGACTGGTAATAACCTTTGTCCCTTGATGTTTGCATACATAAGCATACAGTGCTTAAAGCAGATCATATAGAGAGACAGGATTTTATCTGCATCAGCAGCAGGTGGTAGAGATAAAAGCGAAATCGCGCCAGTCGACGCCTAACGTCAGTGCTGGAAACAGGCTCTCTTTTTTTTTATTTCTTTTCTTCCTACTTCACCTTCTTCTTTCCATCATTTTGCTTCTTTTTCCTCCGTATATTTCCTATTTTTCTTCCTTCCGATGGAGTCCGGAAGACGGGTTTTGCTGGGTTGCCTCCGGGTTCCCGGGGTTCAGAAACCCCCGGAACCTCGTCTTGGCAACTCAGCTCCACTCTGTCTGCCTCTTTCTTCCATCTTTTGGGTTGCACAGGTTTTTTTTTTTTTATAATCTCGTTTATTGCGGACTGTGAAGGAAAAGTCTTGGTTTTTATCTTTAGAATCGACAATATCAGGAATGAAAGTGACTTGCTTTGATCGCAACACAATTTATTACGTGAAAAGTGGAAGAACTTGAATACATTTTTTTTCCTCGCTTTTGTTACTCCGCGAGATTTCTAAACTTGTCCGAGTCTCTTTCCGGTGAATGGGGAAGAAAATATAAGTCTTGCGAAATCAAACGAATAATTCTCGGCCGATTATTGAGTATTTCTCACTCAGATTTCTATGGTTATAATATAAAAAAATTGAGAAAAGCAAAATTTTCAAGCATTCGAATGAAGTGAATAAGAAATATTCAATCATTTTAAGTCTCCCAAGCAGTGAAAGTTTTTGAGCTCTTTGAAATTTTTTGTTATACTGAGATGCAGAATTCAAAGTTTAATCAAAAATGCTGATCCAAAAATTTAGGATTTTAAATAATATGCTATTTCAAAACCAACAAGGGTTCAGCTTCAGTATTATTTATTTATTTTTACCCGTGATAAAATTTCAATAAATAAATTGAGTCTTTATGGTCAATTATCAAATATTGTTGATCCAGGCATGTCGAATCGATTTACTGTACTTCCAGAAATTTTAATGATTTACAAGTGTTTTAAATGACGATTTTGTTTGCAAATTTTGTGTCATTTATTCAGATTTCGAAGTTTAGCCAAAATATGTCGTATATATTTTTTTAGCACTCTCGAGAATTTTTTGAGTTCTGAAGCATGAAATGTTTGACCCAAAGAAGTAAAATGTATAAACCCTTTTTTTGTACCTGTCCTCGTATCCTTAAAAAAAATAAATTCAAGGAAAATGAATGGGTAAAAATAGAACACTTTCAAAGACCAGGCCTGTGAGACACTTTTCTTGGAATCGCTTCTCCTTCTTCTGATCACATATAATTCAGTGCGTCATCGTTTGCGAAATCCGCTGGTGAAACGAAATTTGTGTAAAGAAGGGATGAATACGTGTATCCAATTTTCTTTTTTTTTATGTTGATGAAATAAGGAAGACGAGAGAGATATATAGTGAGAGATAGAATCGGAAAAGGGGTTTTAATTAAATCTGGGGACTAGTTTTATTAGATTGTCCCCCTTGGCTGCTCTTCATTTCGACTGGCCGGGTGTTGTTACTTAGTAATAACTTTTGACGGGGTTCGTGTGCTTGAGCTCATTGGGTTTCATTTTCATGGTGTGACACACGACGGAGAAGTGACACTTTATTTGATGCTCCCCTGTGATCATGGGATCAAGTGTGACTCTGTGGGAAATACCGGGTGTTCCTGAAATATGCATTGATGTCAGGGTGAATTTCAGTCATGGACAAATGCAATTTTCACCTTGTTATTGGTTGATTTACAGTGTGAGGCCTCAAGATGCGGACGTAATTGGTGCATCAAGAGTTTCCTAAAGTTGAAATTCCCCAAGCTGAGTCTCCTTTTCCCATAGACTTACATCATACAGTCCAACCTCTCCAAGTCAAATTTCAAGGGACCTGCAAAAGAAATGGACTTGAAAAGATTTTGAATTATGTAGGTTTGAACTGCAATATAAATGAAGCCTTTCTCAGGGAAACTTAGAAAAATGTAAATGGTGATATTCTTTGGCTTAAATGGCTTTTTAAATGAGTTGAAAAACTGCTGAGCTTGGAGGCAGGAGTTCATTTGCTTGATTAAGTCTTTTACCTTCCTTTAAAAGACACAGTAAATTTCTGTTTTATTGCATTTTTCTTCCTTGTGTAACCCAGAACCTGATTTCCTTCTCTATTCCTTCTCTATTTGGGTTGAAATCTCTTTTACAAGGTTTTTGGTTCCTTGCAGCTGTTCACTCTTGTTTTGGTTCCCGTCCCTTGCATCAGCCCACATTAATGCGTGACCCCCATTTATGTTCGTTTCCTCTATAGAATTGGCTATTTGTTGACAGTGACATAAGACCCTCCTCGAATAATGGCCAACAGGCCACATTCAACTTATATGGAGGTTTGAGGAAAAAAGCTTTTGACTTATTACAGAGGTTTTTAATGTATCGTTTCTGAAGGATTCAGATGGGGACCTGAAAAAATTCAATTCAGGGGAGTATTTGACTTGAGGAGGTTTGAGTTATTGAGGTTCACCTGTATAATGTTTAATTGGTATTTTATGGAAGAAATATTCATCAGAATTCCATGAAAAAAGTTGGCCAAATGAATTGATTCAGTGAATATCTTTCAACTCAATAAGAAAATGGAGCATTTAATACTGTACCTCTGTAGAGTACATTGACATGCTGTTGGAATCTGTAAAGATAGCTTGCATGTTACAAATAATGAAGGAAGTTGCTTTACTATGCTGAAGAAAATGAAGAGAGAAATACCAACGAATTTTTCTTGCATAGATCTTGGGTTTGAACATATGTTTTTCTTGAAATTCAGCCTGATAAAAGTCATTTTTCCAGAAAAGTATTGGCAATTTTATCCTGCAATGTTTGGATGTTGAGTCAGTGTCCACATGTCAGGCCTTTTCATGCCTTTTTATTGGAAAAATGCCCTTATGTTGAATTGTCTGCAGGTCAAGGTGTCTGCATTAGGGGTCTGACTGTTACAAGCTTTACTTGTCAGTATTGACAGAAATGCATCATTTCAGAAATGCATCAATAATAAACATTTTTTCATGTACAGTATAAAGGTTTTTAGTGTCGTTTTCCGTTAATGACTCGTGTTTACTTTCACTTTAACACAAGTCCGACAAGGGTGAGAAGGGTCTATGTTAAACCTTAATTAGTTTCTTAAATCTTCCTTAGGAACTTCTGAAATCATGTAAACCAAACACTTTTTCATGGTCCTCGAAGATTTGGGAGAGTACATTGTTTAGTTTGTGAAAATCTGAAGTCTCTTGATAGTTCAATTCTTTTGGAATTGAATGCTGTGAAAATAACGTCTTTTACTGGAGAGTGGAGACACAGTGACTATATGTTTCAAATGTCTCCCGACTTATAAAAAAAAAAGGATTCTGCTGAAATGCAAACAGACATGATTTCATTGACTTATAAGATCAACATGAAAATATTATGAAAGAAATTATAACGTGCTGCCTAAATTTTTAGCACAATTTAAAAATTTGCTTTGACCTTTATTTGGCAACAACTATTGAAAGAATTTTCTTGTTTTTTGAACAGCTCATCACAAGCAGTTAGCCCATTTGCAATTAAATTTTTCACCGTTTCTCTTTTCATCAATATAATCTCTTGCAATGAAATTTGGAGAAATACGAAACGAAAAAATCGCTGAAAAATTTTCTCCAGATAAGGAAGGCACAAGTGTTTTCACCATGCGGAAATTTTCCTGCAGGTGCGAAACGCTGGTTGAAAAATGAATCAGTTTCCCACGTTCTTCTGAAAAAAAGACTAAGTTTCTGTAAATGAATTTTATATTTCGACGAATTTTTTTTTTTTTTTTTTTTGGTTTTCTGCGCGACTTTCGTGAATCCCCTACTGGTCCTCATTCCGGTGAAGTTTTTCACAAAACATTGAAAATTTTCCAAAAATCACAGCAAAAGGCAATTACTGAGCACAAATGAAAGTGAAATTGTGTTCAGGCTGTTCCCACTCTTCCCAGATACAATTTGGAATTAATCAAAGAATTTAGAAGGAATCCTTGAAGATAAATTATATGTAAACCGCAAACACTTTTTCATGGTCCTCTAAGATTTGGGAGAGTACATTGTTTACTTAGGGAGAACCTGAAGTCTCTATTGATAGTTAAATAAAAATTTTGGAATTGAATGCTGCGCAAAAAACGTGTTCTACTGAAGACACAGTATATATATTTCAAATTTCTCCCAACTTATAAAGAAAAAGGATTCTGCTAAAATGCAAACAGACATGATTTCATTGACTTATAAGATCAACATGAAAAGATTATGAAAGAAATTATAACGTGCTGCCTAAATTTTTAGCACAATTTAAAAATTTGCTTTGACCTTTATTTTGAAACAACTATTGAAAGAATTTTCTTGTTTTTTGAACAGCTCATCACAAGCAGTTAGCACATTTGCAATATAATTTTTCCCCGTTTCTCTTTTCATCAATATAATCTCTTGCAATGAAATTTGGAGAAATACGAAATGAAAAAATCGCTGGAAATTTTTCTCCAGATAAGGAAGGCACAAGTGTTTTCACCATGCGGAAATTTTCCTGCAGGTGCGAAACGCTGGTTGAAAAATGAATCAGTTTCCCACGTTCTTCTGAAAAAAAGACTTGAGTTTCTGTAAATGAATTTTATATTTCAACGAATTTTTTTTTTTTGGTTTTCTGCGCGACTTTCGTGAATCCCCTACTGGTCCTCATTCCGGTGAAGTTTTTCACAAAACATTGAAAACTGTGTGTAAAGAATTCAAAAGGATTTTCATGCGGGGCTGAAATTTTATTCAGACAGTTGAATATTTATGGATAGAAGGTGAATGAGTTCATCCAATGGTTTGCTCTACTTAGTTTCTTCCACACGACTTTTGAGCGTTCCAAATTCAAATGGAAACACTCGCAACATGTTCCGTCGTGGAATTTCAGCAGTGCTCAAGTGATTCGAATAAATTACGCGGAGTTTCTTCTTCACGCAATCTTGCAGATGCTCCTTCAAAAACCTCAGCAAAATTTCGTGGTGAAATGCCTTGGCACATATACCTGAATTTTTGTGATGTGTGTGGAGAATTCCAGTCTCTTGTGCAAAAATATGTTGTGCAGGAGGTCCGTTGTGTGGGGGAGATAGTAAATGGTCCATGAATCCCATGATACAAAACTCCCTCTGTCCATTTCAAATAATGTGTTTATTATAACTTCATTTAAAAAAAAATTATTCATTATTTTCACCAGGCATGGGTGGGTGTAATGATGACCATATGACAAAGTTTAAAAAGAATACTGTAAATTGCTCTTTTGCTGGGCAATAATGCTGGACAGCTGATAAAAGGTGCTGCCATTGCTGAAGCCCAGAATACAAGAGGCTGTATTTATAAAATTCAAAAAGCAGCCAATCTCATTGTGAGTGAGTGAAGTAATTGTGTTGCTTTGTTTGTAAAACTTCTCTCCACAACCAATTTTTCCCGTTCCCTTTTGAGTTCCATCATGGAGAAAGTGTACCTGTACATGGTACATATGAATCTGATGATTCTAAAATATCGCTCCAAATAAAAAAATGTGCTGATTCTGGCTTCATTTGAAATGTTCATTTTTTTCACCAGTGGGGGTGGGATGAGGGCAATGATGAAGTCTAGAAAAGATGCATTGCTCATTTGCTGGGCAATAATGCTGGACAGCTGATGAAAGGTGCTGCCATTGCTGAAGCCCAGAATACTAGAGACTGTATTTATAAAATTCAAAGAGCCAATTCTCATTGTGAGTGAGTGAAAGTGATTGTGCTGCATTGATTTTAGAAATCATCTCTCAACCAATTGTTTCTGGTCCTCTAAAGAAATTACACCTGTATACATGTAGGTACTTAGGTTACTAAGACTTTATAGACAGGTCAATTTTTTTTTACACAAGTAAGACCGAAGTAAACTTTATAATTTAAAACAAAAAGTAGTCGTCACCCCCACACTACTCCCGTTACTACTTCATTAGAAAAGATGCATTGCTCATTTGCTGGGCAATAATGCTGGACAGCAGACAAAAGTTGCTGCCATATCTTTGAACACCAAAATAGACATAGCGAATATTTAAAACTTCCAAGAGCCAATGATCTCATTGCTTAATTGTGTGAGTGAGTGAGTGAGTGAGTGAAAGTGATTGTGTGTGTGAGTGAAGAAAGAGGCAAATACCACCACCATATAGCCCCACCAGCATGAACTCTGTGGTGGTTCATCAGTCCCAGCAGCTGCTGTGGTACCACCACCACCACCATCACCGAGCATGGCTCACTGCCATGACCCTCTTGCTGTTCCACCAGCACCACATGTCCTCTCACCAGTCACCGTCGTGTTCCCGGCCCGGGGACGGGTTGCGCCCCCAGTTTGTGGACGAGCTGCTCCTGACGCGCCACAACGCCAGGGCCTTTGTCCTACGAGCGTGGGACCTGTAACGGCAGTAACGCGGCGTGCTGTGGTTCGTGTGCATGGTGAACGCCTACAACGACGGCCACTAGCTCGACCGTCACCTCCGACAAAGGCCGGGCTGTTCCGCCCTGCTGCCCGGATGGACGATCCACGTCCGGGAACTGGACTCGCGCTGTTCCTCTGTGTTCTCGGGACTCGCCAGCTTCCACTTTTTCCACAACGACAATGCTGGTAAATAAAATTAAAAAAAAAACAGCAAAAACAAAAGTGATGATGCAATTGAACCTCCTTTTTTTAAAGTGGAATTTCGAGGGACCAGCAAAAAAAAATCTACTTGAAATAATAATGAATATAACACAATTGCAGGAAATTCTAAATGATGATACAGTATTTGGGGTCTTGAATTGCTTCTTGAATGAGTTCAGAGTATATGCTGAACTTGAAAGCAGGGGTTCATTTGCCCAATTAATCTGTCATACAACTCATACTTCATTTCAAAACACATGAAGTTACTTATTTTATTGCTTTTCTATTACATGTGCCAAAAAATAGGAGCACATGGTATACAGTAATAGACAAAAAGGTTCAGAAAATTGGGGTAGGATGTTTGAGAGGAAAAGCCTTTCATTCGGAGAGGTTTTTATTGCATTGTTTCAAAAGTCATTCAAAGGGCGACTAGGGAAAGATTATTAGGGTGGATTGAATTATCAGGGTTCAACAGTAAACCCCTTCTCCAGGTTAAATACCTCTCCCTATATGTCAAATTAATGTTTTGAATAGTAATTTTTTACTTTCCTTGGAATCAAAGAGGTATTCTACTCTTTTGGAAGCATTTTTACTCTTTTTCATGTCTCTGGTGGTCCAAAAACTGTCGTTACGTTGTGTTCGATGAGTTCACCTATGTTTTTTCTCCCCTTGTTAAGTTTTTACTAAAGGGTCACTTATATGTCGTATAACCTGGAGTTATTGAGTTCATAGGAAGATTTACAAAAAAAGTTCATCATGTCTGAATTCCCTCAGAAACAAGGCATTATAAAAGTCAAAAGCTTCCCTCTTCTAATATATGTCCAATAAATCCAATTTTCTGTAGGCCCTTGTTCAGCCAATTTTTTTATGGACACAGGAAAGAGAAGAGCAACATAAAAAATGCAAGGGGACGTGTTTTGAAAGGCAGTGAAAGACTCATTTGGTCAAATAGCCTCTTGTCTCCAAGTCATTTCAGAAGCAATTTGAGACCCATAATATTGCCATTTACAATTTCCTGAAATTCTTTTTACTCTTCCCAGAAAAAATGCACAAAATGCTGCCTTTCACAGCTCAAAACCTCTCTAACTCGATTTTTTGTTGATGGTCCTTTGAAGTTTGACTTGAATAGGCGTGACTGTAATGATAATAAAATCACCATGAAGATGACATAACGGACATAACCCGTTTAGAGTCTTTCATATATGACTTGACAACCCGGAAAAAATAACGATTGGGTTTGGGTATGTTAAGATTAAAAAGAAGTTAAAGGACAGAGTTGAGGTAATAGTTATTTTGCAGTGAAATCTAGAATTCCTGATCTCCCTTATACTGGTAGTACAGTACTTTCCTTGCAAAACTTTTGTTCAACTCGAATTTCAATCTTGCACCCTTCAGTACTTCACAATATCATTCTGCTGTGTGGTCCAAGAAGAAAATTGAAGAACAATAAATATTGAGCTTGATGGTTTTATTAACCCATCCAGTTTGATGCTCAATATCCTGTGAACACAATTCCCCTGCAGGTTCATGCTTAGAAGATCACCAATGTATTTTTCTATAATTGTTATAGCATCTTAACAATTCTTGAAAAGGCAGGGATAAAGCTGGTGAATGATGATCCAGTTAAATCAAGACAATTATCAAATATCTGGAAAATTTACCAATCTCAAGATTAAATTCCAAGAGCAGGTTCAAAAAAGAGTAAGTTTTGACATCAACCCAAAAGAAAGTCTTGCATTTCTCAAAAAGTGCAAAAATATTGCGAAATTGAAAAAAGAAAAGTATCCTGTGAAATATGACAAGATTTCAAACATAAATTGCTCTGATTTCAGTTTTTCTTGAAATCAGCAGGATGAATTGTTTTACATCTAAATCTGAAGAAAATATTTCGTTTGCTTAAATCCAGCATTGCTTCTACAACATCCACTCTTGATTCCAATGTCCACAACTTTTGACAATTCCAAAATTGTGTAAACATTGATACATGCTTAATATTGACCTTTCATCAAGTTTAGTCAAACCCTTCTGCACACATACAATTTTTTATTCAGCAAGAAAAGTAAGCAAAGAAAAATACTTCCACAATCATCCTTACCTCCTGAATAATCAATTTTCTGTGAAACAAACACTCTTGCCTCAGCATCAAAGATGGAAAAAAAAGAGCCCAACAGATGCTGCCATGCATCAGCAGGTCAAACCTCTTGGGAATTGAAGCATTCTTCACATTATCTTGGCTTGTATAACTGAGGCAAGAGAACCAGGCATTTTTCTTTATGAGAAATATGAGATGGTTAAGAGGATGAATGGGATGGTGGAATATGAAAAATACAGGGTAATTCACTTGCTTTAATTCTGAAGCTACAAAAACATAAAATTATCTTCAATTTTGAACAAGCCATGCATAATTTTGGATGAAGAGATTGGGGGCAGTTTGATGTATGAAGGAAATCTCTACATCAGCAAAATACGGGCAGTTAAATATTTCTAGTACACCTGATATAATTTGGACACATTACACCCACATTTTCCCCACTAAATAGTGATTTCCAACACTATTTAACAAGCTCGTCATATTTTATCAAACTAGTATTTGCCCTACTGATTGATGTACAAGCTTTGTTTGCCACTTTTCAGCATTACCAAGGTTTAAAAATTTCTAAATTCCTCCCACACAAACATTTACACATTTCAGCATAAAAAGAATGATTCATTTTACAGTAATTAAAAGCAAATACATCACAGCAATGTCCATCCAAATAATGCATGAATAATGAATCTTCATCATTTCTACTTCTAAAATAACTTTAATCACAATACAAGGCAATCACTGAGTGTGAATTGAAGCAAAAGCTATTCCATCTATTTCAAGGTAATTTTCAATCTATTAAACATTAAAATATAGAAGAATTTGACAGACCATTGTCTTGTAATTTTCATAAGTTTCTCCTCACACCCACATTTTCCCCACTAAATAGTGATTTCCACAGTTAACCTCTATGTAAGGTAAGCAGAGGAAGTGACTGTTCAAAGAAAAGCCAAATTTTCCCCTTTTAATCTTTTAAGAACAATTATTTTAACATTTTCTATTGCTGAGAAGATGTTTGCGTGTTATCTTCCTAAAAGTTTTCCAGCTTCATTTGACAAGAAAATTGTATTATACTGTAGTATAATTTGTTCAAAACTGCTTGAAATATTGGGACATTTTTGAGGGCATACAACTTCTCCAATATACCCTGTAATGTGCCAGAAAATATTATATTTTTAAACATTCTGAAGAAAGGCATATCCTGAAGCTTATTGATAGATGGCGTATTGAGCTTAATTGCCTAAGTGGCCATCAGCAAATGGATTCTCCAGTTGTTATTTTTTGTTTCTCTCTCTCTCTGTATTTTCTTTTTTTTTTTGGTGAGCTATTCTTGGGCAGAGGTTGATGGGAACCTGATGCGGGGGAGAAGGGGGAAATTGTAGCAAGTGGCCCACCTAGGGTGTGTGTGATTATTTTTCCTGTCTTAGTAGTAAACATGGCCCAGTTCCTCTTTCTGTCTCTGTGTGAGTGTGTGTGTGTGGAGGTGAAACTGGGCTCTGGGTTGCACCTGCTACTGCTGCCTTTGTAACCCCCATCACACACCTTCTCAGGGTTTCCCNTTTTTTTTTTGGTGAGCTATTCTTGGGCAGAGGTTGATGGGAACCTGATGCGGGGGAGAAGGGGGAAATTGTAGCAAGTGGCCCACCTAGGGTGTGTGTGATTATTTTTCCTGTCTTAGTAGTAAACATGGCCCAGTTCCTCTTTCTGTCTCTGTGTGAGTGTGTGTGTGTGTGTGTGTGGAGGTGAAACTGGGCTCTGGGTTGCACCTGCTACTGCTGCCTTTGTAACCCCCATCACACACCTTCTCAGGGTTTCCCTTTTCTTAGCCCCAAGTGGCTATACTTTCTGGTATAATACATTTATCTCCAATTTATCCCATGCAGAAATCATCTGTGGATGTTTTTTCAACAGTTGAACCTCTCCAAGTCAAATTTGAGGTTTTCAAGCAATTTAATTTATTTTCTGTCCACAGTATTAGAATTGTACATTATATTTATACATTTTGTACATCCAGGAATAATACGATTTTCAAATCTCTTGTGATTCTAGACTCTAGAGCATAAGGAAAATGATTTCCATCTGTTTTTGTTTTTACTGAAACCGGTGTTTTCAATTGCATCTCCAATTGTAAGAAAGGAAGGCTGGAGCATTTTTTGAGCATTAATTAGCTGATAATTAAGACATATATTTTGTGTTAGGAATTAAGGTTTCAATTGAAATCAACTCGCATTAATCAGCTGGTAATTAACAAGCAATGCGAATTATGGGGAAGCTTTCAATTCATGGATAATTGAAATAGAGAGGAATAACTTTTGTGTTAGGAATTAAGGTTTCAATTGAATTCAACTCGCATTAATTAGCTCGTAATTGACATGAAATGCGAATTATGGGGAAGCTTTCAATTCATGGATAATTGAAATAGATATCAAACTGCATTTCAAGAAAACTGATGAAATTTTATTTTTTAGATACTGTAATTTCAAAATTGTGTGAAGAAGCTAGAAAACATTTTCTCTGTTGGAAAAATGAACGAAGCTTCAACTCTCAAGATATTTTCAAATTCTCCTTCAAGTTCACGATTTCTGAACTGAAAACTATGATTGCTGAAAAGGAATTTTGAAACCTGAAGGAGAGTCTCGAATAAAAATTGGAAGACGTCTGAATTTTAAAAATGTGATATGGAATATTGAGAAAAAAAAACAGATTTATGACATCAAGACTCATTCTCATCGATCCACGAATAATTTTCTGCAATATTCCTTTTTTGTTGTTGTATAGACGTGTTCCTGGGGCCCGTTTGCGACGACTACGTGCTGGCCCCAGTGGCCCGCTACGCCGCCGTCTGGGGCATACCTGTCCTAACGCCTGCGGGCAGGGCCAAGGCCTTCCAGTGCAAACAAGAGTACGGGATGTTGACTCGGATGTCGGGCTCGTATCAAATGATTGGGGGCCTGATTGAAGAGCTTTTGGCTGCCTTCGGGTGGCGGAAATTCGGTATGCTTTTCGAGAGGATCGGCCACTCTGACAACATGGCCGCCTGCAAGCTCATGACTGAAAGTGTTTACGAGAGGTTCAATCAGTCGGTGCCGTTTGAGTATTTCACCAGCAACAGGCCAGACTATGCTGCCATGCTGCTCAATGTCACTAAAGAGGCTCGGAGTGAGTTCCCTTCCCTCTATAGAATATATTTTTAATGTTTTTTATTTTTAATTTAAAATACCATATTCATTTGAATATAGGAACCATGCGAATTTTTTTTTTCATCAAATTTGAAAGGGAAAAGGAGGGGGGTGCGCATCTTATGCGGGTGTATATTTTTCAAAGGGTTTTAGAAATTTTTGTGTGCAATATACTGAACTGAAACAGGTGGTACCTTGCAATTCTATGACCAACAATTTATTGACTGTCCTGAAATTCAATGGTTGAATTTGCTGGGAGGCTGACTTGCAATTTGACTTGCAGTTGAGAGAAAAAACATCAAATTTTGATGTAGAAAACATTGCATTTGCCATTGTCTAGCAATTTGGCTGCTTCACAATATGACCCTAGCCTGGCAATGGATTTTTGAATAATCCAACATCAGTCCAATAATGCATGTTCAATATCCTTGAGTCAGTCCAAATTTTTGGTGCTTTGGTTTTTGAAATATTGTGGTTTCAGAGTCACTCAAGATGATGGTATCTGTGTCATTTTTGGGGATACAATTTCACCAAAATTTCTGACTGAAAACCCCCAGTGAGTGTCTTACTTGAGGGTACATGATGGTACTTGACCAAATATGGTGCATGTACACAGAGGTGTTTCCCATGAAGTCAAACCTCTTCAACACATGTGCAGCAAAGTTGAGATATGTTTGCAGCACTGTAAATTGAAAAAAGTATTTATGGACCAAGCCAGGAAAAATTTGAATGAGTTCTTCTTATTGGGCAGACAATTTTCCCTGAACAAAATTCCTAATTGGGTGGCATTCTTCCTGCATTCCTAGCATAAAGCAGTGTTGAGTTTGGAAAAAACAGCATTTTTCCTGGGGAACAGTGGAAAGAACTGCAGGAAATTGTGATTGGTGGCATTAATTCCAAGCCAAAATTTGTAGTCCTAAATTTTGGGAATGTGTGCACCCTCTTGAAGATAGCATGATGTTTTCCAGTTGAATAACTGGTCCTGCCCCACATCTAGCCCTAAAAACAGCTCTGGGGAACAGCTGCTTATATAGTGCTGAAAGCTGCCTGACAACTTATCTTTGTGCTAAGTTTTCCTTCAAATATTTCTTGAGACCATTCTGTGGCATTTGGGGCCATAAAACCACATACCATTTGAAAAGGGATGGTATAAGCTTTCAAATGGTGTTTTTTCATTGCCACCGCTTGATTTGCTAATACTGAGCTATTCTAAATCAAAAATTGGTTCACTTTTTTTTAGTCCACCCTGTATAATGTATATGGTGTCACTCACTCAATTGTTGAATTGTGAATTTCTATTCACATAAAACATTTAGCTCAAATTACTATTTTCAGATAGAGACTCAGGCATGCTTTTGAAGAAATCTAGGACCCCAATGGTATCAGGCGCTTGGGTTATTCAACAAATGTAACACTTTTTGCAGTGCAAAATACCATGAATTGTTCCGGTCTTTTCTTTCCATTGTCACTGATCCAAGAGAAAGATTTTCTAAGAAAAAAGCTATTCCAAAGAACGCTGACTTTGACATATCTTAGCACAGAATTGCGACTGTTTTACTGCGAAAAAAAAATACCAGTTTCAAGTTCTTTTCATTTTCCATTCAATACAAAAAAGAAACAAGGACAGACTTCTTGACGTGTTGACTTCTTCCATTTCCGCATCAGTTCCAATCAGGAAGTCACGTCTCTTCTTTGCAGATTTTCGGGAAATATTCGCTCAAGTTTTCTGCTGCAACACGACTCTACCGACTGTACATGATGTTCTCAGCCTCTACTTTTTTTGTGCGAAAATAGATACTAGTATGAATAAAATATGCTTGACGAAGTTACAGTACTTGTGCCTTTTTCATGTGCATTATTTTAAAACTCCCACGATCGAGTCTTTTCATATACAGTAACTTTTTTGATCAGATTCGGAATTGAAAAATGCCCCTTTGTTCGCGAGAGTCCGTGCAAAATTTACTTGGCAAAGTGTAAAAATACCTTCCGCAAATTCCCACGAAAATGTCTGTAACTTTTAAAAACGCTGGGCAATTTTCGCAACCCCAACTAAAGATCAAGTTCAATTCCATTTTAGAACCCGAGGCAGTAATAAAACACGAATAAAAACAAGCAGTGATACTGTATGAGAAAATTGTAAAAGAATGAAAAAAGTACTGAAGGAAAACTTCAATACTTTCTTAAAAAATGAAACAGAAATGGTTAAAAACAGGAACCCAATTGGGTTATTTACTTTTTATTATAGGCCATTTATGACAGCTTCGTGAACCATGAACTGGTATAACGGTATATTTTTGTGTCACTGGGAAATGCTCCATTTTTCTGGGCGCCCAATTGGTTAACGCTGAGTTGAGCAGTGGCCATAAAAACGAAAGAAATAAATGCAGAAATAAAGTTCGCAGAAAGAAGAACATCAACAGCAAGGATTCAGCACGATGAGCTCCTTTTCCCATGTGCTGGGATTTAAGCTGTCTTGCTCTAGAACTCCTGTCATGTCTGCAGCTGCAGCACTCAACACAAAATCATGGGTCGTCAACTTTACTCAGTAAAAAAAGATCGGCATTTTTTGTTGAAATATTTCAGGAAAATTCCTCTATGGAATTCAGGATGAAGAACAATATGCAGAAATTTAAAGCACGCTTAGAAAACCTCACTAAACTTCATTCCTAAATAAACTATAAACTCAAAATCTTATGAAAAAGGCGAAATCGATGGAATATTTTTCTTTCGAATAAAAATATCCATACCATTCACATTCCCAAGTTCAATTATTTATATCACATTTAGGAAACCTCATGAAACTCCATTCCTGAAATTAATCTTCCTTGCAACGCAAACTTGATAACATCCTCTGCTTTGTTTAGCAAAGATATCCACTTTTTTTGCTTTCCAAAGAGCAATTATTTACCCAAAAAATGAAAAAAGTACTGTGAAGTTTAACCTCAATAACTCAAACAAAAAGTGAATATTTTTTCAATACCCAGTCTGAATTCCCCCAGAAAAAATGCATTAAAAACCTCCATAAGTCAAAAGCATTTCCCCTCAGTCAAATGTTCTGAAGCCTTTTGGCTATTACTTTCTTGAGACATAAGAGAGAAAAGCAATAAAAAATGGAATTTGATGCGTTTTGAAATAAAGCGAATGGCTGAATTGGGAAAATAAACCCCTGCCTGCAACTGAAGGATTCTGTCAACTCTTTAAGAAGCAATTCAAGGCCCAGGATATCACCATTCACAACTTTCTGAAATTCTTTCATTTTTCCAAGCCCACCAAAAAAGGCTTGGTCCCATAAGGCAATTTAGAGAGGTTTGGCTGTATTTGATCAAGTACAGGTGGTACATTGCAATTCAACCCTTATCCATTGCTGGACTACAGTTGAATTGCAAAGTTGTCAAATTTTGGAACAATGTCAAATGGCTTGTTTTCTAACAGGGCATTTGACATTTCATGTCACTCCATAATTAAAATTGCACTTCAGCAGCAGAGGTTGAATTGAGAGTCAACCTCCCAGCAACTTTGGGTACTTTCCTGTTATCTCAGTACCTACTTTCCTATTACTGTATCTCTGTGCCTTCCCTCTGACCAATTTAACCTGGCCTAACCTAACTTCACCTAACCACCTCCCAAAATCAGTTTCTGCTTTCTTTGGGTTTGTGCTAAAACTGATTTTGGGAGGCAGTTAGGTAAATTTAGCTTAGGTCAGATTATGTTAATTAAAAGGTATTTTCAACTACCGTAACCTGACCTAACCTAACTATACCTAACCTCCTCCCAAAATCAGTTTCAGCAGAATGCGGAAAAATAAAATTCGCAGTTTCTGGTAGGTTTTTGTGATTATGAACTTGTCTTAAAGATTTGTCTGGATGGTAGTGAGGTCTAGGAATGAGGTACTGAGATAACAGGAAAGTACCCAAATTTGACCATCAAATTGCAGGACAGTCAAAGTGTGGAAGGTCAAGTTTCAAGGTACCACCTATACATCAATCCCTAATTCACGTCTCAATTGGAGCTCATGAATTTCATTATGCAAGATGAGAAGTTCAAAAATAACCTAGTATTATATAGAATTAAGGATGAATCAGGGAAACTCAAGAACTTCTTAGGAGGTAGGCATTTAGGTAATTCTGCAGAAATTAAGATTTGCATGGGGGATAAAAATTAATTGGGCAGGAGTGTCCTGGGTTTCAGCAGCTGTTGCTAGTTTTGAGAACTGGTTGCTTTTCCTAGCTGTCTAAAGAAAGGGGGCCTTAAGAGAGAGGAAAACCTTCTGTAGTTGTGTTCCCCTGTAAGATTAAGATTTGTTTTTGCACTTCATCCAGAACCCACCTTCACTCTTCGACAAAAGGACCTTCTTCCCTCTATTTTGTCCCAAAATTATTTCCTATTCCCCGCAAACGAGAAGAATTACAACCTTTTATCTCCTTGTATATTGCTGAGTATATACATGAGTGGAAGGTAAACATCAGAGCTGCTCCACCAAGAACTGGATTTTTCAAAGCACAAAAACCTGTATTTGGATCAAGGGCACATTTCAGTCTTTTCTGTCTTTATCTGTTTTTTTTCTTATATTAAGATTTTCAGGTGCATGTTGGAATAGTGTTTCTTATATTTGTGTAGCTTTTGATGGATGGCATGCTTCATTTAGGCTATCGAATTTTCGTGTTGAGAGCTCATAGTGGAGGTTTTTTTTTATTCTTGTGGATTACATAATATTACCCAATACTAATGTAATCTTGTTTTTTTGTAGTAATTGTTCTCTGTGCTTCGCCTGAGAGAGTGAGGAACATCCTGTTGGCAGCTGAGGAGCTGAATATGATTAGCAGTGGAGAGTATGTGTTTTTCAACGTGGAGCTGCTCAACAGGTGAGAAATTGTGTGTATAATTTTGCATTTTGAGTCCTCTGCTTTGTAATTTTAGGGACTTGAAAATTTGAATGTGCTGACAAATGGTGTCCTGATTCAATGCCAGATTTTGCAGATTTTTGATCTATTTTCCAGAAATTGTTTCTGCCATTTTCCTTATTGATGTAAAAAAAATCAGGTCAGCTGTCAATGAATCATTGAATTTAAAAAAATCTGAACAACTCTAACTTTAGAATCCCCTAAAGTTTCACTTCATATACTGTTTGACAATTTGAGAAAAAAACTGGCTGAAATCAAACTTTTGCTTCCATTGTTTGCCATATTTTTCTTTGATTTCAAAATGCGTTAGCTGCCAATGATCCATGATTCAAATTAATTCAAACATCCTGGTCAACTCTAAAATTTAGGTCCTCTAGTTTCTCTTAAAATTTTGGCCTAAAGATGTTGGAAAAATTATCAATGTCCCGGAATCAAACATTTCAGTGTATTTCTTGCTTCCACAAAAACCTTTCAAAGGTTATCTCCATCTATTGTGAATGTGCGAAGGTTTTCTTAGCTGTTTCAATGATCAATGAACTAAAGCGATTCTAATTCCTGAGTTTATTTCAAGAATTATCTAAACCTCCGCTTCATGAATGAATGAATTTTGCAGATATTCAGAAGTCTTGGAACTTCTTAAAGCTGCTTATACAAAAAATTTGAATTTTATTATCTTCAAATTATAACTGGAGAGGTTAACAAATTTGCTTTTAGAATATTTGGCCACCCATATGGGCATTTTTTGGGGAGCTGATGGTTCAAAAAGATCATTAAAAAGTTACCTTATTGTTCATAATTGGTATCCAGTCTTTTTGTGGAGTTGGTTGGTAACTCTGTGGTGTGTGAGGTTGGCTCAACAGGTGAAGAGATGAAAAATATTTCTGGTCTCCCTTTTTTATCACAGGGCTTATTTTATTTAATCTCTTTTAATGTTTAACTGGGGGGTTTGTTGGCCTAAAAGGAAGGAAAACGTGATCAGATTTTTGTTCTATATAGTCTTGCTGTTCCACTTTTTATATATATATTGTATATATTGGGAGACCTGGGCTGCGACCTGGAAAGATTTCCGCCTGGTTTCTTGTTGCATCTGGCAAAAGTGTGACGCTTCAATGGTATGGGGGAGCAGAGAAGAGTGAATATAAGGTCTCTGCAATTTTCCAGATGCCATCTTCTTTCTAGATTCTTCTTCTCCCTGTCTTTAATGCTTCCGTTTCCGGGATTTCTATTTATTTATTTTTTTGTGTGTGCCATGCTTCCGTTTTTACCTGGTTTTGCGCTGTTCGATGATGTTGACTTTGCAGAGCCCCTGGATTTGATTTAATCAATGTCGGATTTTCCCTGGGTTTCTGGCGCATCTACTCTTGCCTATACTGTATAAGCTTAGTCACATGGGGTTTTGCTGGAGGATTTTACGGCGAAGTAAAATTCCTTGATGGGTAAACATTACTTTAGAGGGAGGCTTTCGTTCTCCCTTGGGTTCGAGGTTCTTGGAATTTCTCTGGTGTTCGAAATTTCGTGGAAAAAAGTCGGTTATTTGAGGGGTTCGATAAGTTATCCAATTTATAAAAATCGTTATTTCCCCCTTGATTTTGGCATTTTTAGTAGCCTATATTTATAAATGCAATATTTTGGAGATCAAGGAATAAATCTCCAGAAACAATTACAAAAGTTAATCTGCATTCATCTATACAGAAATTAATTTTCGAAAAATATTTTCCAGCAAACTAAACCAGAGTTTCTTGCCATTTTCTGCATAGAGATTTTGAATGGAATTCCCTCGTGCATTTTTTTTCAGAATTTTTAGATAATCTCAGAATATCAAAAACAGAATGATGTCAACCGAGAATGACGTAGGAGAGAGTTTAGAGTATTCATATGCAGGAAATCAGCTCATTTTCAATTTTTAAATTTGAGTTCAAGGTTTTTGGAGCAATTTAAGGGATAATTTATAAACTATATGCAAAAATAATGAGGGTATCATGGAATTTCGAAGCATGAATTTTTTGACACGTGAAACTAGAGAAAGCGCTCTCAAATTATCCAGAAAAATATTTTTCAGTATTCTGTAATTGTTTTCAAGAGATTTTTGATTTTTTTTTTCGTGAACTCAGGAATGTTCGTAAAGATTTTTTGAGGTACAGTATTTATTCAGATGCTCATGAATCGAAATTTCAACGCTTTTTAAATGTATTTAGCCTTTCTCAGATTGTCAATTTATGCGATTATTTTCATCTTGAGTATTTTTGGTGCGATCGGAGAACGAATTTCTTTTTAATTTTCCCATAAATCTTTAAAATTAAACATTAATTACAAATGGGGTTTCGGAAACTTGTTCCCGAGGAAATTCAGCACAAAACGATTTTTCATCATCGATTTTTCAAATATTTACAAGTTGTACAAAAAAGCCTGACACTGACGCAAAATTTTCAAGAAATTTGTCAGGATAACTGAATTAAAGCTACGTGACAGAATTTCCATTCATTCATGTTTCAACACAAACATAAATTCAAAACAAGACCATTTCAGCAGGCCACAGTACTTATATCTTGGTGGTGTGACGCAAGATAAAATTTGACAAAAACGAGTAAAAAAGAATGTCTTATTCCCATCAGGACCTTGGACTTTTGATCAAAGTCTACATGTGATGACGCCCTTTCTCAAAGTTTATATAGCAATAAAAAAAATTGTCACTTGTTATTCAAAATGTTATTTTTTCAGTGCTGACAGGGAGCCCTGGAGGAATGTCAACGACACTGCGGAAAACAACGAAAGGGCAAAGAAAGCATTCCAGGCTGTTCTCACTGTGACAGCCATGACACCAGAGACCCAAGAGTACAACACCTTCTCCAAGGAGGTCAAACGAAGAGCCAGGACAAAGTACAATTACACTTACGAAGAGGACAATGTCAACACGTTTGTGACAGGTTAACTTCTTCTTTATTACATATACTAGAAGAGGGTTGTCCCAGTTGAACGCGACCTCTGTTATATTTTAGAATGGGTCTGAGTGTAAAAAAAAAATCATTCATTTGGTTGATGCTGAAAGAATAGATGGTTTAAAATATTTAAGTCGATGATCTCTATTTTTTGTGGCTTTTTTCCCCTGAGGGCAATCTCTGCTCATTTAATCTGGTATATTCCTTATACTTTTATTTTGGCTTTGTATCTTGGAAAGTCTGTTTCCCTCTTGAAGTGTGTTGAGGCAAAGGCCAACAGCAGCAGGCTTTTAATTTTCCAGAAATGAAAAAAAAAATTCAGCACAAGCTAGAAAGTGCTCAGACAGCCATGATGTGATGGTTCTTGGCAATCTCCTGAGCTGATTTATTTTTTGTTTTTAAAAAGTGTCTTGATTTCTCTTATATCTTTTTTTGGATATACAGCATTCTATGAGTCAGTGCTGCTTTATGCATTAGCCTTGAATGAGACCTTGATGAGAGGAGGGCGAGTGAGTGATGGCAGAACAATTACCTCCTTTATGTGGAACAGGACATTTGAAGGTGAGTTCAATCAAATTTCATTTGACCAAACAAAAAACTTCAATTGTAAGAGTTTCATTGACTTTTTAAATCTTTTTTTTATCACAAGGATTGAATGGAAATGTGACCATTGATGCCAATGGGGACAGAAAAGCTGATTACTCCTTGTTGGACATGAACCCAGTCAGTGGGAAGTTTGAGGTAAGTTCTTTAATTTGATCATATTTTAACTGGATTTCTCAAATTTGTGGAATTCCAAGTCATGATTCAACAGTTTGAAGGGTTGTTATTTTAAATTTAATTCTAGATTGTATAACCTATTAACAAAGTGCCATGACACCTCTATTTGTATTGTATCACTCATGTATAAAGGAAAGTCTGTCACATTTTTCTTGAGAAATTCTAGGACAGTCAAGCAAAACTTTTTTTTTTCTGGTTTGGATCAAATATGAATTTCATGCATATATGTTCAAATTTATGAATAATTGAGAGCAAACATAAAAAAGCTGTTCAAATTAGTGGATAGACATTATCCTGATTGATTATTTTGTTTATGATTATATATTTTACTTGGATTTTTATAATTTTTTTTTTAGAATGTGACACATTTTCAAAACTTAGAAATCAGGTAAATATTTTCACCTCTGGTAATTGTAATAGGCAGTCTATTTAAACCAGTTATAGGTTATTTAAATTTTTTAAATGAAATATATATGTTTCAGTGGATTTTATTTCAATATTTTTGTAATTTTCGCATTAAGTGATCTTGAAAAAATGTTCATCAGGATTGGTCTGTAACCTTTTCACCACGCTGTTTTGGATTTGTGATATTAAAATAGAGTAGCTAATTTTTTTTTCTTAGAAAGCTCCTGATGAAAAATTGAGGGGGAGTGAGGGAATGAGAAAAATCCGCGTCTCAATAAAAAGGGATCCTCCAAATAGGGGCAACCTCAAGTATAGTGTGATGCAATAACACGAGCCCCTCCTCATTATTATTCTCCAACGCATTCAGGGGATTCCAATTCTGGCCTTGTTCCAGAGCTGCAACCGAAGGGGATCCTCACACACACACACACACACGCAGTCAATGTTATATTCAGGACATGTCTTCTCAATGTCTCTTTACTTGCTCCTCTCTTCTTATCCCAATATATAGTGATGGTGGCTTCAGAGAATAATAAGAAGAGTGACAATAAAACCCCATGATCCCTGTGATGTGTAAGCAAAAGGCGGGATGGACAATAGATCTCTGTATATATATATATACACTCTGAACATTTCTCCATCTGACAGCACAGGCCCATGGTCCTGACAATTTTAAGCTTCTTCTGCTTTGGTCCCCTCTAGATCAAAAATAGACAGAGAAAAAGACTGTTGCAATCAAAATGCTTTATGGCCTGCCTTTGGCTATAACAAGTCATGTTTGGCCCAAGAATTTCCTCCATCACAGCATCACCTAAAATGGTGGTCCACAAAGCAAACAAAATGGCGTTGTTATGTGTAGTCACAGACGAGGTTCCCTTCAGCAAACAATTTCCCTAAACCTTGTTCATTTGTTGGCACATCATGTGTTCCCAGGCAATTTGTTCTGGTGCTGGTGGAAGGAAACAAAATAAAAATGGAAAAGCGCAGAAAATTTGCCCTTGGCACGAAGTTAGGTAACTTCAGCTCTTTTACCTTCAGGTACTATATATACGTCTTGATTGAACCTGCTGGGGTGAGATGAGCACGTCTCTTGAGATTTCTGAAGCTATAGTCAATTGATGAATTTGGCACATATTGTTGTCACCGCATAAATATTGATGCAGGAAATTAATCATTGCGAGAGTCGCTTCATTTTCTTGTGAGCAGCGAAAAAAGGTGTTGGGGAAGAGGGTGATTGGGTGTGGATGATGTGTGCTGGAGAAGATGATTTCTGGAAGGAAATTGGCTCATGTATCCTAGAAACTTGGAAAATTGGTTCCTTCAGGAACTTTTTTTTTGCAGTTGGTGGCAAATTATCCTGGGAGCGCAGATTCCTTGAAAAATTAATCCATCCAATGGTAAAATCCACAAAAATTAATTTCATTAAAATTTCTTTGTCCACTTTTGCATTTTTTATTCGATCCACATGCGTAAATTGCACATTTACTGGGAAACTTGCCTGATAATACCTCAAGGTCATTTGAGGGTTCATGGTCAGATTGTCCTATAGTTCCGCACGTCTTTGATTAAAGCAAACAATTAGCACAGAGAAAAGGTTGGAGTTGAGGGTGATTGATTATGCAGCTCTCAGAGAGTAATTCTTGGAGGAAATTGGCTAATGCATCCTTCAACCTTGAAAAAGGGTTTCTTGGGAAAGTTTTGCATAACTTTTTTTTTGCAGGTAGTTGCAAATTATTATGGGAACACTGATTCCCTAAAATGTAAGTCATCAAATAAATAGAATGAATGGGTGTACGTATATAAATGTCAGATGTCCATCAGTTGTATTTCATGGATTATATTTTCTTTTATTTTTGTTATCAATTTGTGCTCTGTTTCCTGTTCTGAAGTGATTGAATGTCATTGAGTGGATTTGGGTTGGGTGGGAAGGGTTTGGTTGTGGAAATCTTGATTGAACCTTGTGAACGCTGAAAAGCGGCAAATCAAGTGTTCTGTTCATTTATTCATTCAATAAATAGAGATACTATACATGTCAAAATGAATTTGATTCCATTTTCTTTCAGACTGTGTCCAAATTCATATTTTTGATTCCATTGGTATGCCCTGAATGTCCATTTGAAACACATAAACATGGAAAATACTTTGCCTCATAATTTCCACAAAGTCATTAAGGGGTTGATTGGGAAATTTTCCTGGTTATGCGCATCTTAACTGGACAAAAAAATAGTCAAGCAAATTACTAGCAATGGAAAAAGGTATTAGTGGGGGGGTTATTGGGTGTATAAGCCCTACATGGTGGAGGAAATATGCTCATGTATCATTTGTATATACATTGGTGCAGAAAATATTTCATGGAGGGAATATGCTCAGGCATCCTTGAAAAATGGTTTCTATGGAAAGTTTTATATAGTTTCTCCTTTATTAATTTTGTTGCAGGTAGTGGCAAATTATTATGGGAGCACAGGGATGCTGGTGAATGTGCCTGGCAAGGAGATACACTGGGCAGGTGGACGCAATTCTCCTCCACCTGACACACCTCCATGTGGTTTTGATGGATCTCTGTGTCCTGATAATAGTGAGGATTTTTCTTATTTTTTCCTGTATTTTTTTTGTTGTTGTTGGAAAAATTATGTTATGTTTTCCTTTCTATACTGTATCACTGATGGCCACTATGTATGGAGAATGCCAAAGGGCAGAGCAATTTCTCAAAGAATATCATATAATCAGCAACTGCGTTTGATGTTGCGAATGCCCAGACCATGGACACACCATAAATCACTGATCCTCAAAGGGGCTCATTCAAAAGTTATGATAGCCTTTTGATTCTCATTCAAGAGTGTTGAAAAAGGGCATTTTTTATTATAAACCATACTCTTTTTTTTTTAACAAGCACTAGTTTAATTTTTGCTCACCAATGATCGTTTGGAACATTTAATCAATTCTGCAAAAATGAGAGCAAATTTTCCTGAGCTTGTAAAATGCCATGAATTATATGAAGAAGAAAATCGAGAATTGTGGAAAATGGCGTCTTATTACAGTATTTAGTAATAAACAGTGAGAAAAAGACCATTATCTGAAACTTGGATTGGTGAAAAGAGTTGCCAAAGTCGACATAAAATTTCAAATGAATGAAATTTTCCCCTGATGATATTCAGCTTTTTTTGCTCTGGTTAGTATTTAACTCGTCATCAATTTGCAATGAACACAAAATCTTTTAAGCATTCCCTACATGCTTCCCTTTCTTGTAAATATATGATGCCCAACATCATAGTTTGAAAAAATTTGGCAGTAAATTTTATAAAATCTGAAAACTTCAAAACATAGCTTTTCAAGGTATTGTTAATTTATCTATTTTTGCACAAATAGGCTTTTTTACATGGTTATAATTGTGAAATATTTGATTATAATTGGGTACATATTATTTAGATATAATTGCTGTATGTTTACTTCATGCTTACATTTTTCTTTCTACATTTGCAGCTTTTCCTGCTTATGCCATCGTGTCAATTGTGCTCAGTACTGTGGTTTTCATCCTCTGCATCATCTCTTTCTTCATTTGGAGGTGAGAATATCGCTTCATGTACAAAAATATCTGGGATTGATGCTCAGTAGACACGCAGAAGATTGAGGATCCTGGAGAGGAAAAAGCATGGCAGAGAACTTTGGAAGCTGTATATATGAAACCATATCCTCTGGGAGCAAGGGGATCTTTTCTGAGTCCTAATAAGACTTCATCTCATGCGCCTTTCACATATGAATATCCATACACTTTTCAAACCAGACTTCAACCCTAACCGACAAAATGAAATTTGTGCACAACATCTTTAATTTGTGCAACAGACTAGTCTGTTGTGTGGAAATTCTGTTATGCAAATTCAATTATTGAAAAATTTACATTTTAAATTTTACCATTAATTTTAAACCAACAGATGTCTCTCAGATGGATTTAGTCCATTGCGCAGGAGGGGAAACCATTGTGTAAAAATCCATCAAGTGAGAGGTCCGTTGTGTGGGGGTTGACTGCACTGTACATATGTTAACAAGGGAAGTTACTTGGCATAATAAAATGAAAGAAGCCAGAATAGAAGTGATTAATATATTTCATACAAATGAATTCAACTCTGCAAACTTTGTCTGACAACATGCTCAATGATCACAAATGATGATAAAGGATGATGGGTGTGCCCAATGATAATCAACTGAAGTAAACATATCAATCAAGGAACCTTTAATTGCTTTTGAAGTGGGGGGGTAAAATCGTATTTAACAGTTGCCCAACAAAACATTTTAAAAAGAGGAGTTTTGAAAGTAATTTCTCTTAATTTTTATTTTATTTTTTGACTTGCTTTTACTTTATGTCAAGTTTAAAAGGCTCTTCTGAGATTTGAAAAGAAAATCAATGGAATCTTTCAAGGCTGCATTTTTTTCTAGGGGTGAATATATTTTTTCATGCTGAATGAACCCAAAGAGGTAGAAGAAAGTTTTGAAAAGCTCTCAAAAGTCCCTCACCAGGAAAACAAAAAAACCAAAAAGTAGAGTCACCTGAACATTTCCTGGATGTAAAAAAAAGAAGTGGAAAATAGGGAACATAGAGTGCAATAAATGGTTTATTGCTGTGTGGTTGTCATCTCTGGCTCTGGAGAGAGTATGGAACGAGCCATTCACTCCAAAATCTCAGGATATCCTTCTGGTGTTGGAGGGATCCCCCATGGAGATTCCCCAGGATCTCCCTTGGGAGGATCCAAGGATTTTCCTCTTCTCCTTTTTATCCAAAGCATCACTCCTTTCCAGGAAAAAAAATATATATAGGATGAGTTGCCTGGAAGGGAAAAATAGAGGAATGGGGTGGGGGAAACCGGTGCAGAAAAATGTGCTTGAAATTTCAAAAATAGATTCAATTGACAATAGCTTGTTGGAATCTTGAAAACTTTCATTGTATTATACCTCAAAAAGATAAAAGGTGGTGGTGTATAGGGAAAAATCTTCTGAAAACTTGTTCAACACCCCTCTTTCTCTGGGAAAGAGCCTTTTGAGATTGATGATCACCATGAATCCAAACTGAGCAAAAGATAACCGAAGTTATTTCCTGCCTCGCAGATGTGAGTTCATGAAGAAGTTGCTTTGCTTGTCTCTCTTTTTATTTTCTGTCATTTCGGAGGTGATGACCCCCAGGCAATGTTTGTTTTGGGGGGTGCTGGTGCTGCTGCATGGGGGTAGAATCGGTCAGACCAGGTCATGCTTGGCTCTTTTTCTCAGCAATGTGATCAGCAAGTGGTGTCTAGTATAAGGATAAAAATGTCTCTGGGGAATTGGAAACTTTTCCTCTGCTGAGCTCTCAAGCAAGTTCCCTCCCAATAAATCCTTCCTTCCTAGGAATTCTCTAGCTTCTCTGGCTTTTTATTTCCATTCATCCAGAGGGGGGGGGGGGGGAATCCGGGTTTTAATCGACGTCCTGGGTTCTCTTCTGAAAAAGCATGCGTATTTTTCAGCCTGGGTTCATCTTAAAGCAAGAGGGGCCAATTTAAGAGATGAATTCCCCATTTAAATCCGATTTTTTTTTCTCCTGCGAATATACTCCCTCTTGGGGGTTCAAAGCCTGAATGAGTAATTTTTTAAAGTCTAAAACATTTGGAAAACGTGATTTGATTTGGATTCTTTGGAGTTCCCTGTGGCATCGTACCTGAATGGAGTGAAATATAGGTGTATATTGATGGGATCCTTACATTTATAAATGCGAGGGAATTCTATTTGAATTATGTTATGATTTCTCAAACGATAAGTGCAATGAAAATGATTTTATGAAAAATTTAACTCAGATTACCTTTCTGAACATTGTTTCATTGTTATTCGTTTTTCAAGATTTCTTTTATATATACCAGCTTAATCCCAATTTTGAGAAAAGATAATTTCCAAACAGAACACATTTTTTATCTTCTTATTGTTGCTGTGGTGTGTAAAACATAAATGGATCATTACCTTCTGATTAGGTCGTATCAGGCCCAAAATCCACATTTTCCTGTATTTTTTAGGAATTGGTGAAGCAGGAAATATTTATGCATGCATCAAACCCATTTAAAAATGATGTTCATATACCATGCAATACAGTTACAACAAATACTTTTACAACACTGTTACCAAATTAATAAAGTGTCCTAGGACAGGTCAATAATATTGTTCTCTGTGCTTGACGTTCTGGAACATCAAGTAAAAATCCCACCTAGCAACTTGTTGCTCTGAAGCAGATGAGGTAAAGGATCCCATCAATATACACCAATATTTCCCTCCCAATAAATCCTTCCTTCCTAGGAATTCTCTAGCTTCTCTGGCTTTTTATTTCCATTCATCCAGAGGGGGGGGGGAGGGGAATCCGGGTTTTAATCGACGTCCTGGGTTCTCTTCTGAAAAAGCATGCGTATTTTTCAGCCTGGGTTCATCTTAAAGCAAAAGGGGCCAATTTAAGAGATGAATTCCCCATTTAAATCTGATTTTTTTTTCTCCTGCGAATATACTCCCTCTGGGGGTTTAAAGCCTGAATGAGTAATTTTTTAAAGTCTAAAACATTTGGAAAACGTGATTTTATTTGGATTCATCGGAATTCCTTGTGGCATCGTATCTGAATGGAGTGAAATATTGGTGTATATTGATGGGATCCTTTCATTTATAAATGCGAGGGAATTTTATTTGAATTATGTTTTGATTTCTCAAACAATAAGTGCAATGAAAATGATTTTATGAAAAATTTAGTTCAGATTACCTTTCTGAACATTGTTTCATTGTTATTCGTTTTTCAAGATTTCTTTTATATATACCAGCTTAATCCCAATTTTAAGAAAAGATAATTTCCAAACGGAACACATTTTTTATCTTCTTATTGTTGCTGTGGTGTGTAAAACAAAAATGGATCATTACCATTATTAGTTAGTTGGTATCAGGCCCAAAATCCACATTTTCCTGTATTTTTTAGGAATTGGTGAAGCAGGAAATATCTATGCATGCATCAAACCCATTTAAAAAGGATGTTCATATACCATGCAATACAGTTACAACAAATACTTCTACAACACTGTTACCAAATTAATAAAGTGTCCTAGGACAGGTCAATAATATTGTTCTCTGTGCTTGACGTTCTGGAACATCAAGTAAAAATCCCACCTAGCAACTTGTTGCTCTGAAGCAGATGAGGTCATTGCAAATCCCACTTACATTGTCTGGCTTACGGTCATCTCCCCGGCCCCCTTTTGTTTGCCCTGTTTTGGTTGCGCAGTTACGTCTGGTTTTACTCAAGTCAATAAAGGTACTGCGGAGTGTATGTATTGATATTCATTGTTGGTCTGATGCTGGCTAAGGTAGCATCAAATAAACACACATCAAACTCAGAAAAAGAAGTCTTTTTCACTTGAATACCACGGCAATAAGAACTAAATCTTCTTGTTGGAATGTTGTCTTAGAGAGTCTCTATACTTCAGATTAATCAAGTTCCGAGGAAAGACGTTTTCTTGTAACCAAAAGTGTCTCTTGTTAAGTCTCTCACAGAATTGGGATAACAACACATTTTTCTAGAGTCCTGGAAAAAAGCCTATTGAGTACAGCATGTTCAAGCAATCTTGATACAACAAACTACTGTATATCCAATTCCAATATAATGAACTTTTTTGAGGACCATGCAATTTTCCAAATAAAAAGTGCCTACTGGAGGCAGGCACAGTCTCAAATCTCCCATTAAAAATGGTAACATGACAGTTTATTGGAACATAAATTAATGTTAGAATCAAGAACAAAATTTCTTCACAATTCACCTGAAAATCCTCTCTTTCAAAGATTTTTCCTGGGCTAGAAAGAAGGGGGTGGGGATAGATGAAATAATGAACCAAAAGCAAAACTCGTGATATGTAGGGATACCGGATTTCTTGTTCAGAGTTTGGATGCTTGAGAAACCTTCCTTGTGCTCAACAACTTGCAAGCTTTTTTGGAACATCCACCTTTGTATACAAACCAGTATGTGGGAAGTTTTTACAAAAACTTAAAGTTAACAGAATAACTAGGGGTTAGGCATTTCAGTTTTACCAAAGGTCACATACTGAAATGCCCCCATGTTGGGAAGGACTGAGTCAGGATAAATCTGGGTTGGAAAAACTCCATTGTTTTGAGAAATCCCAATGTCAATCTTATGCTATATAGGAATGCAGGATAAAACGCCACGCGGAGAGGAATTTTTCCTTTTTTTTAAACATTTGCTGCAGGATTACAAAAAATATTCCTTTTCCACGCTTTTGCCTTGGTTCAAAAATGAATTTTTTTAGTGCTCATGGACACACAATTTTTTAAAAATATCCCAACTTTGCCACACAAGGGTTAAAAAATTGAAAACACACCTGAAGAGGCCAGGAAAGGATGATCTTGAATATAAATGCAGGTTCACCTTGAATCAATCTTCCCATCAGTAAATAATTTTGAAAATCTTGCAATAAAAAATATATTTTCATGTCAAACTTTTTCTGAAGTCCCCACAGTTTAAGTTTGTTGTAACAAGATGTTACTGCATATAAACATCACGCATTCCTGAAGCAATTAATAATAAGGTGTGATGACAAATGATGCACTGTATGCAACATGTTGAATTGACGGTGTGTGTGTATTCTGTATACATATAGACACTACATGATGGAGGCAGAACTGGCTCAGATGACGTGGAAAGTCGCCTGGGCAGACGTGAAGATGAACTCGGGTGCGATGAGCGGGAAGCAGCTGAAACGCGCTGGGTCCAGGATGAGCCTGTCACGCATAAATTCAAAACAAGGAAACAGCTGCAGGGAGGAAACCTTGTACGCTTCCTTGAAGCAAGTGCAAATTAAAAAGGGAGATCCTCGAAACATATCCAAGCGTTTCCTGGATAACACTTCAGATTAATCAAGTTCGGAGGAAAGACGTTTTCTTGTAGCCAAAAGTGTCTCTTAAATCTCTCACAGAATTGGGATAACAGCACATTTTTCTAGAGTCCTGGAAAACGGCCTATTGAGTACAGCATGTTCAAGCAATCTTGATACAACAAACTTTATCCAATTCCAGTATAATAAACTTTTTTGAGGACCATGCAATTTTCCAAACTACTACTAATTGCACCCCAATTGAACTTGGGAATTCAAATTTTTTATATATTATATTTGAAAAAAGAATTGCTGTATGACATTATAGACATTACATTGCACTGTTTTTCTATGTTAGTGCCCCAATGTAGCAAAATACATACATACATACATACTTACATAGCATACATTTGAAAACATGATTACATACTGAGTGAAATTCTGGAAATTTTGAATTTTTTTGGCTGGAAGAACTTAAAATTGATTTTTTTCATTTTCCTGAATTAAAAAATGTTGTGCAGCTGTATTTGCAATGACATGGGGTTTTCAATTTGATCAGTTAAAAATTGAGATCTAAAAAGGAATTTTTCCAATTTTTCACTCAATTTTTTGAAAAAGGTCCGCATTTTTTTATATCTCAGTCAATTTTTGGAATTTTTCAAAGTTGGAAATGGGGAAATGTGCAGAACTTCATTGCGCATCCACCCTTTAAAAATGGTAGAGTTTTGTTGAGCAGAAATCATATGGTGAATTTTTATATTGAGAAGGTTGGAAAACAAAAATTTTTTGGACTTTCAAGTTTAACTCATATTTTTGGAGAAATTTCAATTTTAAAATTTTTCTTGGATGCACAATGCATTTCTACAAATTTGGAATTTTTTTGGCTGGAGGAAGTTAAAATCAAAATAGGAAACGTTCTCTAAAAAAAATGTGCCAAGGGGAGGGATTGACCCTGGTACCTCTGCAACCGTTTCACTGCACCCTAATTTTTTTTTCCATGCCAAGGAAAACCTGCTAAAATTTGGGGCCACAGACACATGTTACACAACTTCCTTATTAAAGTTCACCCAGCCCCCTATAGGATCCTCAGTTAACACTGTGGACGTTAAAAAGGGCCTACTGGAGGCAGGCACAGTCTCAAGTCTCCCATAATCTCCCATTAAAAATGGTAACATGACAGTTTATTGGAACATAAATTAATGTTAGAATCAAGAACAAAATTTCTTCACAATTCACCTGAAAATCCTCTCTTTCAAAGATTTTTCCTGGGCTAGAAAGAAGTGGGTGGGGATAGATGAAACAAATGATCCAAAAGCAAAACTCATGATATATAGGGATGCAGGATTTATTGTTCAGAGTTTGGATGCTTCAGAAACCTTCCTTGTGCTCAACAACTTGCAAGCTTTTTTGGAACATCCACCTTTGTATACAAACCAGTATGTGGGAAGTTTTCACAAAAACTTGAAGTTAACAAAATGCACGACAGTGTCTTATGTGTTATTCAGAGTAAATTTACATCATTGACATTTGAATTTCTGCAACTTGCAACCCTTGGATTGTTGAGGATTATTTTCCATCTTGCATAGCAATTGGGATTTTTCTGGGGGATAGGCATTTCAGTTTTACCAAAGGTCACATACTGAAATGTCCCCATGTTGGCAAGGAATGAGTCAGGAAAAATCTGGGTTGGAAAAACTCCATTGTTTTGAGAAATCCCAATGTCAATCTTTTATGCTATATAGGAATGCAGGATAAAACGCCACGCAGAGAGGAATTTTTCCTTTTTTTTAAACATTTGCTGCAGGATTACAAAAAATATCCCTTTTCCATGCTTTTGCCTTGGTTCAAAAATGCACTTTTTAGTGCTCATGGGCACACGATTTTTGAAAAATATCCCAACTTTGCCACACAAGGGTTAAAAAATTGAAAACACACCTGAAGAGGCCAGGAAAGGATGATCTTGAATATAAATGCAGGTTCACCTTGAATCAATCTTCCCAGCAGTAAATAACTTTGAAAATCTTGTTATAACAAATGTATTTTCATGTCAAACTTTTTCTGAAGTCCCCACAGTTTAAGTCTGTTGTAACAAGATTTTACTGCATATAAACATCATGCATTCCTGAAGCAATTAATAATAAGGTGTGATGACAAATGATGCACTGTATGCAACATGTTGAATTGACGGTGTGTGTGTATTCTGTATACATATAGACATTACATGATGGAGGCAGAACTGGCTCAGATGACGTGGAAAGTCGCCTGGGCAGACGTGAAGATGAACTCGGGTGCGATGAGCGGGAAGCAGCTGAAACGCGCTGGGTCCAGGATGAGCCTGTCACGCATCAGCCTGGATGTGAGTCCTTCAAGCAAGTCTCTGGCATGATGCTGCTGCCTCTCTCTCTCTACATTTATGTATAGTGAGACCCCGAGATGCGGACGTCATTGGTGAATCAAGAGTGTCCCTAAGTTGAAATGTCTCTCAGTCAAGTCCTGTTTTCCATGAGACTTACGCTATATAATTTTTAATGGGTGTTTTATGTACAAAATACTGGGCATAATAACATGAAAATGAAAACTGTCTCCCAATTGAAACTGATTTAATCAATAAATTTCAACACAATATATGGACATTTCGGGAATTGAATACTGCATGATACCTCTGCACGTGCAGTGCATAGAAATTTTGCCATTTTCTGTGAAAGTAACATTCAAGTGAAAATTCAAGAAGGAAGTCCCTCTATGCTGGATGTCACTTTTTTAATCATCTAAATGGATGTTAAATGGGTTACAGAAATGCCCAAGAACTTTTCTTACATCACGATTAGGGTTGAAAATATCTGTTTCTTGTAATTTGGCCTGAAATGTATTTACAATTTTATCACAAAATGTCCCTATGTTGAGTCAGTGTCCCTATGTCAGGCCATTTTTATTGATTTTTTATGGGAAAATAAGTGTCCCTATTTCAAATTGCCCGCAGGTTGAGGTGTCCGCATGTGGAGGTCTGATGCGGTTTGATATATATATATATATATATATATATATATAAATTTAGAGGGAGGCTGCAATATATATTTATTTATATATTGCGCTGCCATTGAAGCTAATGTTCTGGATTTGGTTGTTAAATGTACATGACCTGCTCCACTTGGAAATTCTTCATTTTTGAAAACAAAAAATATAAACTGAGTAAAGTAATGATCATAACTGTGCCCAGCAGACCTTGTTGGACATGAATCGTGTTTATCCTACTCTAAATCGGGACTCCATTGATAAAGTATTTTTAGATTACACAAGACTTGAAAAATTTTAAATCATACAGCATGAGGTAAGAAAATTCCTGGCTATATATATGTATGTCAGTAAAAAAAAACAAGCAGGTCTTGGGTATTTCAAGGACAATATGAATTGCTGGACAAGACATCAAGCCATATCATAAGCAGTACCAAGAAACTCATAAAAGAATGTCGTTAATTTCTTAGCACCAAATCAAAGGCCTTGAGCACTGTATACAAATATATATATATAGTAAGGACAAGTATTTTAAGAGTATCCTGGTACTGTTTATGACGTGGCTTGATGTCTTGTCCAGCATATCTTGTCCTTGAAATACCCAAGACCGGTTTTTTTTTTACTGGTGTAAATGTATATATTTTCATGAATATATAATTTCTGCTGTTGACAGAGCACGTGTTCAGTTGGATCCATTTGCGCGGGAAACAACAAACAGCTTTATACAAAGACTGCTGTTTACAAGGTGAGTTTCCATTTTTATTTATATTTAGAACAAAAACGAAAATTGATCCGAAATCCAGTGTTTTTATTTTGTTAAATATTAGAATGAATTGTCCTGAGGGAATTCGTCGTTTGAAGAAGTATATTAAACAAGTGGGTAAATCATGGTCACATTTATTTTCACCCTCGTGCTCTTGCTTTTTTTTTTCTTCTTTGTCTTGGTCCAATTCCAAACAAGGAGAATCGTGGGAATAAAGGATTTGTGTTGAGCTCGGAATATTTCTCATGGGACGCAATTTGCCGACGCAAAATACGAGTATATGGAGACGCTTTCATGCATTTGTTTGCATCTCTGTTTATTGCAGCTATAAATAAGGATTATGCGAGAAAATAAAGCAGAGGAGAATTCTTTTTTTTGCGTTGAAGAGCTGGAGGAAATATATTCGCGAGTTAGTTTGAAAAGTAGCTCATGAATGTTCTGAATTTTTCATTTTTCTAAGGCTTTTTTTAGATTTTCTTTCGAATCTTTTTCAGGGTTCAATAGTGGCAGTGAAAAAGCTAGGACCTCACATGGATGTCACAAGGCCTCTGCTGATTGAATTGAAACGGGTGAGTGTCAAATTTTCAATTCTTGAAAATGCATTTATCGCCATTTTCTGCCGTACCGTTAGTGGAAAAATAATCTTCGCAGAAATGGGATGAATAATGCGAAGTATATATGCTTCCTTCGAACAAATACCATGAATTTATGTGAGATTATCATGATGAAACTTGCTTTCAAACTACATGAAAGTATTGAATACTGTATCACATTTCTTTCAGCAAAGACCTTTTCTTCACAAAGGTTTGAAGGAGATTGTTTGTATATAGTCCTTCATTGCAAATGTTCAATGTTGATATTTCTGATAGTAGTTAAGATTAAAAGCCGCCTGACTTTTTTAAATCCCATGACTTTACTGAAGGCAACTGTTGTAAATTACTTGAGTCATGCATAGATGATGATGTCCCAGGGTGAGAATTTTTTCAAATAAGCCCAGGACACTTTTCCCTAAAATGACATTAAAGTTGTTTTGGATGCTCCCAGATTTTCCCTTAAATTGTGATGACAATTTTTTAGAATAGTTTTTGACACCATTAATTTGAGAAGTATAAAAAACTTCAATTTTCAACTTTGATGAGAACTGAAACCAGCAATATGCATCTTTGTCCTTGTAGATTGTTTCTAAGCTTTTAATGAATTGAAATTTATCTGGGAATAACAGGCTGAACACCTTGTGCACTAAATTTGGCTCAGTAATTGCCTTGTGGTGTGATTTTTATCATTCCTGTGTAAAACAAATGACCGCAGCAATTCATTAATTGTGCATTTTTATGTACTGTGATGCACCTACTTTTTGTAATACATATGATGAACTATTTTTGATATGCCAGAAAAATGGATTTGCTGGGAAATTTTGTGAGCTTCTAGGATGCTGACAATATGGGAAAATAAAGCTTGCATATCAATTAAAAATGTTCTGTTCTGTCACATGTTTTCAGATGAAAGACATTCACCATGACCATTTGGTGAGGTTCATTGGGGCCTGCATCACTCCCTGTTGCATTCTGTCTGAATACTGTCCAAAGGGCAGTTTGCAGGACATCCTGGAGAATGACCACATCAAGTTGGACTGGATGTTTCGCTATTCCCTCATGCATGACATTGTCAAGGTTAGTAGTCCACCTTCAGATGCATACTCTTTTTTTTTCTTTTTAAGACTATTGGGGGAAGACATTCTTTTGTATTTTCCCCACACAAGAAAAATGCAAGGGACAGTGTTTGGTGGCCTTGTCCTCATGTGGAACTGGATTTGATGGCCTTGGGGTGGGGAGATACACTCTTGATGAAATGCTGAGGGGGCAAAAAGAAAATGAATGGATGCTGAGATAAACTGCTTGGGAATAGGCAGAGGGGGTTGATGGAAGAGCTTCCTGTTTGTTGCCACCATCAGTCCTTGTCCAACTCGTGTATGTCATGCCTTGAAGAAGGGTCTGATCCATTGATTCCTATATAAAACACACACACACACAAAATCAATCAAACAACACCCAGTTTAAAATGTAAATCACAGAAAATTCAAGCAAAATTGTAAACTGTAAGTCTTGTTAATTTTAGTATGTTTTCACTAGAATTTACTTTATTCCTGCTTGTAGGTTTTTTCCAGTGATGTTGGAAGTTGTTGCCTCTTTGTCCAAACCCTCACTATAACTGTTGAATTTTTCAAAGTCCCTGTCTGAATTCCATTGGAAAAATGCATTAAAAACTTCCCCAACTCAAAGACTTTCAACCTCAAACTTCCAAAACTTAACTTTTCTGGAGCCTTCTGGCTGTTATTTTTATTGGCACAGAAAAGATAAAAGAAGTAAAATGTAACTTAATGTTTTTTGGATGTAAGTATAAAAGTATAAATGGGTAAATGAACCCTTGCTTCCAAAGTTCAGGATCCTGTCAAGTCAATCCTTAAGCAATTCAAGGCCAAGAATGACACTAATACAATTTCCTGTAATTTTTTTTTTACTTTCTCCCAATAACAACTCTAATAGTAAAATGTTGCTCTGAATTCTTTCATCTTGACAAATCATACATAAGAGGCATACACATTTGCAAACATTATTATGCTATTTTAGAATTGAGAAAATAGTCTAGAATACAATTGTGATCACACTTACCTTCTTCATCATCATCACAATCATGACTGAGCCTGATTACAGAGTAAGGTGCAGGCATTTGAGCTGGGCCCTGTGAGTAGAAGTACTGGGGTCCACTGCAGGTACAACAGGTGGATGGGAACCTTGGGGCACCCTGGGCCATTTGTTGGTGTTGAGACAATTGTGGGGGTGGTGGTAGTGGTGGTGCTTGTTGTTGGTGCTGCTGGTGTGCAGGGGAGTCCAACCAGCACCACTGTTGCTGTGCCTCTGATACCTGTTTACCAGGGGCACTGAAAAGGCAGGGAACTGGTCCTGAAGGTGCTGCCAGGTTGCTCTCCAACTAAAGTTCAGTGGGGATATAAAAACAATTTAATCTTGAATCATTATTGAAACAAATGAATGTTAATACTCCAACTACTATATGGAAAATTTACTTTGATCTGCATTATAGATTGATCCAACACAGTTCTAGTGGCTTTTATGGTTCACAAAGGTTTAAATTGTTTATCATGTGATGAAAAAAATAGTTTTTTGCAACTTTTAAAAATGTTCTTATCAACAAAAAAAGAAGTGCGTGAGTTAAACCTCAAAATCAACTGTCAACCTGGGGCCTGAAAACTTTGGTTCATTTTTGTAAAGTAATTAAGGTGTTACATATAGAGACTCAAAAATAACACTGAGCCAAAACTCAAGTGACCTGAAGAATCTGCATGTGCAAGCTCTTAAAATCAATTGAAGTTTGAAATTGATAAAATTTTCAGTTTCATTCCCAAATCATTTTTCAATTTTATGCTATATTATTGTGTTTTTCATGGTCAGTTGAAAAACATCCCCCCTTCAAAATCTTTTCAAGTGAAGTGCATATTTTGCAAACAATGAAGTATGCAAATCCATGAATGGCGAGAAGCTATAAATTTTGTGGTAATTACTTTGGTGATTCAATCTGAGCACATTTTTAAATTTTATTTACAGGGCAATACTTTTCAGATTGCATCTCAGTTTTCAAAATACAGTGAAATACAGTACTATACTACTCAGTGAAACTAGTCACTGAACAGTTTTACTGATCCTTGGAAATTTGAGATATTATTTTCTGAGTCCTGATTTTGCATAAAATATGTAACCTTTCAATGAATTTATTTTCAAATTTCATGTGTTATGAGTGTGTCTGTATGGTGATGATGTAAACAAAAACTGGAAATTTTGATTCATCATAAGCCCCAGTTTCGAACACCTTATCCAAACCAACAAGGAAAAGATTTTCCTGACTGAATGTTTATATATAGTCATGCAGATATCATGGAATTTTCAATCACCAAGCCAAAAATATTTAAATAATGTTCTAGCCTAAACTAAATCGTGGTTGAGTTCAACTCACTGGAACTTTGCCAGGTGCCCTGAAGACAGCAGTAGGCTGAGGAGGAGCAAACATGTACTGGTAGGAGCTACTTGGGTACATAGCGGGGTTATGCGCAGCAGAGGGTGAGGTTGTGAGCGACACCTGTGGTCCGCCCGGGAAAGCCACGGGTCCGTAGCACGGCCCACAGCTACAAGAGGACATTAGCGGCATTGCAGCCCTGTAGAAGGCTCTTCTGCTTCTGGGTCTGCCACTACAGACTGTGGTTGTAGTTGGCAACATCCCTGTTGGCAACGCTGTTTGCCGCAGACGTGAAACAAATGGATCCATCACCGATCGCTCTGGAAACACCAGTTATAAAGAATCTGGACTTTCATTACAATAAACTTAATAAACTGAAACAGTATCTCAACCATGTTCTTCCAATAATTTTAAAATTTTTAAGTCATTTACTGATCACCAGAAAAATAATAACTGAAGATCTTCATCAAGATTTTTGAAATTTTATCAATTTAACCCAGAATATGTCAAACATTGCTTTTTTCAATTTTCAATAGGAAAAGCAAAATTTTCAAATGAAAGCAGACTTGACACAGCTTGAATTCAAGAAATATTTTTCAAGCCCCAAATAAATTTAGCTTCCTAATGACCTATAATTATTTTCATGCCTCAATTTTAAAAATAAATGTTGATAAAATCAGCAAGTTTTACTCACTGAACCTCTTGGGATTTCCAAATGTGCTGATCAAGGATATCTTTGAATGTCTTGCAGACCCCTCAGGATTCTGCAAAATGGCAATCATAGGGGGTCCAAGGAGGTCATCCACTTGATATAGTCCTAGAAATCACCAGATGGAATCATTTTCAATAATTCAAAAAAAATGTTGGAAAGTGCATTGCTTACCATTCTTCTCTGCTTTGACCTCAGGGTCAGAAAGATGAGCTTGCTGAAGCAATTTTATTAGTTTGCAGGTGATGAAATATTTCTTTGGGTTCAGGAGGAAGTCTAAACTCTTGTGTAGACCCTCACACTTTTGGTCAGGCCAAGAAGAGAACACATTGGACAATAGGGCTTCATTGGACAACAAATGTTCCTTTTGTTGAGTTTCAGGTTTGACAAAGGCCAGCATTCCTTCAACTTTTTCAGATTGTTCAGCATTTTTGACCTCTCCTGAATTACTTGCCCCAGGCAAAAGATGTTGATGACTGGTACTTATCCAGTCCTCCATAGGCTGGTCTTGATGCTGATGACCAAAGTTTAAATCTGCCAAGGGGGTTCTTGGGTACTTTTTCCTCTTGTGATCTGAGTGTGCATTCTCCTTCATGAGTCCAGGAAATGTAACTGGAAGGGCTATTTCAGCCAATTTGGTCACCAGGGTTTCTTTGTGGCTTTTTAAAAATTCCAAAACTGAATCAAGAGTGTTTTGGCTCTCTGATTTTGAAGCAGAATCTGAAACTGTAATCACACACATTCATCACCACACAAATAACCTGGTTAATGTGCAGCTTTTTTCTTCTTTTTTTTTTTTTTTTTTTGCTCACCATGGTAGAGTTCAGATGCATGAGCTGCAGCTGCCAATAACAAATACAAAAATACCTTCACCATTGTTTCATTCACTGGGAGCAAAATGAAAGCAGCAAGAAATAGCCCTGTTGAAACTATGAATAAGTGGTCATCCTTGTGGGAGATCACCCAGGGTGAAGTTTTATTTGCCATGCCAATAAAGGCCAGCATGAAGTTAGCTTTGCAAATTCCCCAGCTGACGTTTGTTATTCACCCGCTCATTTCACCAACAATAAACATAGCAAGAAAAAAAAGAAATATGAGACCAGGAAGTTGGGAGAATGTAACAACGAGAAAAATTTATTACAAAATTTCGGGAGTTACAAAAAAAAATCAGATTCGCTGACAATTTGTTTGAATGGAGTAGCTGGTGTTGCAGAGCGACCCCGAGCAACGCTTAGAAATTTCAGCTGCTGTCGAGAGTTTTATAAAGATGTGTAGGTGTCGCTGCTTCTCGCTTTGTTCTCCCCACGGAATCAATCAGTGCCCCATTCGCTATGCTGGCATTGTAGGCTATGATGGGTACGCATCTGGGTCTTGGGACACATGGCAAGGTTTCACATGCCATTTCACACACTTCAAAGGCTCTGCATGTAATGGTGTGACATGGGTTTCCTGTGGGGAAAATTAAACATTAGAAAACTTTTTAAAAATGTGTTATCTATAAAAATAACTCTGATTTTCGCACTCACCAAAATTGCAGGCACACTCTGGGCATAGTCTTCCCTCCCTCACAAACTGTATTGGACAGTTGTCTGGGCAAATGGGTGTGTTGCATTGAAGTGGAATACAAATTCCTTGTCCTGCCACATAAGCACACCTCTCAATACTTGCTCTGCACTTTTCTGTCTGTTGATGGGTAACCATTAATGAAATGAGAAATTTGGAGATGCATTTTTCCCCGTAATTTACTCACTCCACATGCAATATCATCTTCATATTCTCCAAAACAAGAACAAGTTGGACAAGTGAAACCCAGTCCACTGGGTCTTATAGAGCAGGAAATTGGACAGTCTGGTCTTGGACATCCATGGGGTATGCAAACCTCTTGTTGGTTCACAAACTCACATCTGGAATCTGGGTTGCACACAGTCTGTGGGGGGGGGAAGGGGTTTTTTTAACTGTCAAATTGTATAGCATTGAGGATTTTAGAGTAACTTTGAACCACCTTTTGAAAAAAAAACATGCTTTCCTGGCTCAAAATTAGGAAATTTTAGCATCCTGAAATTTCCCTCAAATATACCAAATTTGAGTGCCAAATTTGATTGAAATTCTATTTTTTAAAGATAACCCAGAAATTGCCCATTTTTTGGAATTGGAATTGAAATTGACTGTGTTGATCATACTAATCAAAAGGGAACCCACTTCATCATTTTCTGTTTGAGGATTTTTTACAGTTTGAAAGGCCTCTTCTTCTCTGTTTATTTCCAAAAAAAATCTGAAAATATTGTGAGCATTATATTCAGAGATATTATATTATATTTATCAGAGATAAATTGAAAAAGATATAGGAAAGAATCTTTTTGATCATGAATCAAGCACAGTTTTTTTTTTTCATTTTTCTCAATTTCTTCAGTAATGGTTTCTTATGAAAAGTGGTCCCATCAAAGCTAGTCTTTGTGATACCCTGAGTAAAAAAAAAATGCTTACCCTACAAACTCTTCCATTGCAGTTGCACCTGGGACAGTCCTCAGCATTTAGTGTCTCCACTAGACATCCAATTGGGCAAGGATCTGGTATTTCACATTCTCTAGGAATGCAAACTTCTTGAGTGTTGATCAACAGGCAGTCTGACCCAGCTATGCAAGTTGTTGTCTGATGATGGGTTCAAGAGCAAATTCAAGCATTAAATCCCTTTATAGTCTCTCCAAAAAAAAACACACAAAAGTAAAGCAGGATTATTCTTGAAGACCATTATTCAAGCAGATCTTCCTGAAAGGTTTCAAGGAACCAGATGATTATCCATGTTTGACTTTACCTGGCAAACTGGTTTGGAAGCAGCAGATCTGAATCTTGAAGCCACGGGGCCTGCAATGAAATATAGAGAGAAAAAAATACTCAGATGAAGCATATCCATTGGATTTACTGTATATTTATAAAGAATCGAGCTATTGCAGAGGAATTTGATATGCAAATTAAAACTTGAGGCTGGGGTAGCATGAAGATGAGCCCAAGTTCCAGGTTTGGGGCCATTGTTTTGCATATGTTGCCGTAAGTATAATCACTTGTGGAATTGCATTTAGGTCAAGGTTATCTCTTTTTTTCTTTTTGCATATGGGAGAGTGGTGTGCTATATAATGGTCCTGGTTTTTGTATATATTGTCATGGTCACATTTGATGCAACAAAAACAGGACAAGCCTTCTTCTCAGGATGACACTTCTTGTCACGTTGCATATACAGTATATATAAAACAGGAAATTGAGTTTATTTGAATGTGTCCACTCACCACCTACTCCAATTGTGGCACAGTCACACAATGGGCACCTGCGCTCTTTTCCCTTGTCATCAAAGTGAGTGAAGATGCAACTGCTGGGACAGGTTGGAATGTTGCAAGTCCTACTGATGCATTCTGCTTCTCCATCCACCACCAGGCAAATAGGGTTTCTGAANAATGGGCACCTGCGCTCTTTTCCCTTGTCATCAAAGTGAGTGAAGATGCAACTGCTGGGACAGGTTGGAATGTTGCAAGTCCTACTGATGCATTCTGCTTCTCCATCCACCACCAGGCAAATAGGGTTTCTGAATGGGCACCTCTTATTCTGAAAAATTCAATGAAATTCTATTTACAAAACATGGATAATTTATGAAAACAGTTATGGGAAAGATAATGTTGTAAAGTGTCATCCTCAAAATTTTAACATAATCAAACAAAATTGACTGAAGACCTGAAGATTGAAATGTAGTATAGGGCAAAGTTTTTGACCACATCACACCAAATATTTACCAATTTGAAATTTGAAATGGAGATAATATTTATATTCTTTTCTTGAGTTTCTTTCCAGCTTAGAAAGTCATTAGGAGTTCCAGGGAAATCTGCAAGGAAATGGAAGTAAACCCAAGCACTTGATTTTGAAATTAAACATACACTGCTGTGTCTGACAGAAAATTAAAAGAATGCAGTAGCTGGGTATTTTTGTTGTTGCTCAAGTTTAGCTCCAGAATTCTGCACATGCTTTTAAAAGAAGTATTGTATACACTGCTGTGTCTGACAAAAGCATAAAAAAAATTCAGTACCTTGAAATTCAATTTTTTTCATTCAAATGTATAGCACTAGAATTTCTTTAATTTCTTTCCATTGACTCAATAACATTGTGATAACCTACTTTTAATTCCGAACTATTATCTCTTTTTCCGTCGTCCCGAACTAAACTTAAGGACCATTTCTAAGGTTAATTGTTTCGTTTATACTTTTACATCGAATGTAACGTAACGGGTTGTAGAACTCCGTTAGGTTCTTCGGCTTGTGTTGGCAACCTGTTCCTTGTTGCTGAAAATATATACATGCACAGTACAGTATACAGTTTTCAAAAGAATATTAAATGACCAAAAACACTAGATTTGGAAGAATTCTGAGAACTACATATATACCTAGCAAAGGAGAAGCTCCAAACCCTGCAGCTCCTCCAGCATTCAGAGGCAGTCTGCCAGCAATGGCAGCAGCATTTACCCCTGCAAAGGGATTCACAATCCCAGCTGTGGACTGGGGAGAAATGGCAGGGGTCAGCAAGGAGTTGCCTGCAGTGGCCCCAAGCCCTGTGGCCCCACTGGCAATCAGGGGTTGAGCAGCTGGGCTCCTGCCTTGGGTCAGGAAGGCTGCTGATGAAGTGGGAGAGAATGCATTGAATTGCTGTTGTTGTTGTTGTTGTTGTAGTCTGAGGAGGGCCAGTTGCTGGACCAGGGCTGGGTTTTGAAAGGCAAACAGGTTGGGGTTTGATGAGAGGCCAATGTTGCCAAACGGACTCCCCCTGTGACCCTTCAAGACCGGACGCTTAACTGACGTCTGACACGGGTAGTCGTCGTCCGTTGAGCTTTCCTTTTGGGTATTTCGTGACGAACAGTAAAATCAAAAGAGTGTGAAGAGTAAGCCATCTTCAATCATCTGTGAGCAGTAGGAAGAGAAGAATCCAACAGCTGAAATTCAAGAAAGAAAAAAACAACAACAAAACTTCTCACAGAAAATTTTCCATTTGAACTTTTCTGCCATGATCAAGCACTTTCCAGAATTTTAATAATATACTAAATATAATCACAAAAGTTTTCCAAATCCTGCTGCTGTTGCTAAATTATAAGGATGAGTTCAAACTAATGCTGGGCACTCAAAAAACCAATCTTGACAAATTCAACTGTCAAATTTCTGGAAAGTGAATGTACAGCATGCAACACTGCCAATATAGGAAGAAAGTGTAAATAATAAACCATGAATCCCTTGACATTTTAGCTTTCTTGCACTTTTCAAAGCCATCATCAAACACTCTCAAGAATGATGATATTTAACTTAAACTCATTGCAAGGTATTCACAATCCTCCTGCTTTTGAGTCCAAACTTATGAGGACTATATAAATCTTGCAAAAGTTGAATTTCAAATTTCTGGAAAGTCTTGAACACTGACAAAGATCCAATAAGGGAGAAACTAAAAGTAATAAAACATCAAGCACTTTTCACTTCACATTCTTGAGCACTTAATAATAAAATTCCATCCTCCATTGATAAATTAAATTTTTTTTAAACAGAAATAGTGTCAGTATTTGGTTTTTCCACCATTGCCAAAACTTTCATCAATCAGAAGTTTCTTGATACAAGACTATTGAGTGAAACTCTTTCAGAAAAAAAGTGTGAAAATCACTTGAGGAGATCCTCATCAGTATCAAACTTGATGGAGCTTCANTTGCTGTTGTTGTTGTTGTTGTTGTAGTCTGAGGAGGGCCAGTTGCTGGACCAGGGCTGGGTTTTGAAAGGCAAACAGGTTGGGGTTTGATGAGAGGCCAATGTTGCCAAAGCCTGAGGGGGACACTGGGAAGTTCTGGCCTGCGAATTGACTGCAGACTGTGCCCATCAGCAGCAGGCAACTCGAAAGGAAAACCCATAAAGCACTGCTTGTCATTTTAGTTTTCTCACACTTCTCATAGCCATCTTCAATCATCTGTGAGCAGTAGGAGGAGAAGAATCCAACAGCTGAAATTCAAGAACAAAACAACAGCAAAACTTCTCACAGAAAATTTTCTATTTGAACTTTTCTGCCATGATCAAGCACTTTCAAGAATTTTAATAATATACTAAATATAATCACAAAGGTTTTCCAAATCCTGCTGCTGTTGCCAAATTATAAGGATGAGTTCAAACTAATGCTGGGCACTCAAAAAAACCAATCTTGGCAAATTCAAAACAGTTTAAAGACCTTTCACTTACATGTCGTACGTTGTGACGGTTATATCCTTCTTTCACATTTATTATTTGGTACTTAGGGAACTGTAAAATCGAAAGAACGTGAAAAGTTTCGGTAGTAGTTTGTCTCTCAAGAATGATGATATTTAACTTAAACTCATTGCAAGGTATTCACAATCCTCCTGCTTTTGAGTCCAAACTTATGAGGACTATATAAATCTTGCAAAAGTTGAATTTCAAATTTCTGGAAAGTCTTGAACACTGACAAAGATCCAATAAGGGAGAAACTAAAAGTAATAAAACATCAAGCACTTTTCACTTCACATTCTTGAGCACTTAATAATAAAATTCCATCCTCCATTGATAAATTAAATTTTTTTTAAACAGAAATAGTGTCAGTATTTGGTTTTTCCACCATTGCCAAAACTTTCATCAATCAGAAGTTTCTTGATACAAGACTATTGAGTGAAACTCTTTCAGAAAAAAAGTGTGAAAATCACTTGAGGAGATCCTCATCAGTATCAAACTTGATGGAGCTTCAACATGTCACTGAAGGTGGGAGAAACACATTTCCTACTGAGACACACAGAACTTCCACACACATATTCTCTCCGGGTTGTTTTTTTTCTTTTGGGTGTGGAGAGAGAGAGAAAAAGTATAGTATAAAAACAATGTGGGTAAGGCGGACATTGATCAGGAAGTTCTGATGCAAGGCTATTGTTTGTTGATGGATTTCACTTTCAACACTTGTGTCTTATTTCAGTTTTCGCTTTCCAGGCGTTATTTTTTTTGTCCGGTTTCTTTCTTCTTCCTGTTTCTTGGGGACTTTGAGGAAGGTCACGATACTGTGTAAAGATGGGTTGACAGTCCAAAAATTAAAATCACAGGAAGTGTCTGGAAATTTTAGTGAAAAATTCTATACAAGAGAAGATTGGCATTAAGAAATTTTCTTCTGTCTATCCAAAATTTCTTAAATTTCTTCCATGTAGGAAGTCCAAAAGTAAAATTCAATAATGGAAGCGAAATTACTTGATCGATTTGTGGTTTAACCTGATGCAAACTTTTCCGCGCTTATTTGTACTGTGGAAATGGATTCCTCAAAAAATTACGTGACTCTAAATTTTGTTTTTAATTTTGATGATCAGCTGAATTTTTTGAAGGGCGAAAGTTATTTCCCACTGAAATTTTGCCCCTTTCAGTTGAAATTTCACTTGGAAAATCAATGAAGAAGCGTTTTTGAAGATGAAATAAATTTCGAAAGTGTCACTTTTCGAAAGTTAATTTTTATTGAGATACTTTAAAATTCAAGATCAAAAGACCCTACATTTGAAGCTTTGATCATCAGTTTAATTTTTTGCACATTTCCACTTCAAAAATAAAGATAAATTATTAAATTCATCTTTCTGTTTATGCTGATCTTTTAAATTTTGTTTGAAATGCTGGAAAACTGAAAAATCCGCAAAACTTGAAACAAGTCGAATTCAATGCCTTGAATTTTTTTTTTTTTGAAATATGGAATTTCACTGCTTTCACTCTGGTTTTTTTTTCCAAGAAATCCAACCAAGAAGCTTAAAGGGAAACAAAACAACAAGAAAAATGGTGAATTTCTTGTGTCACATGCTGATGCCATTTTTGTCCTCCCAACTTGAGTCACTTTCACTTGTTGCCACAAAAGACTCTTGTTGAATAATTCTTCCAGGAACTCACTGATGTTTTCCTCTTGTGCAACACGAATCACTGATTCTTCTTTTTCTGTTGATGTGAAGGATAAAAAAAAATGGGGACCTGAAGTGGTCCAATGTTGAACTGCGTCTGAGGCTCTCATGGAAATCGCTTATCCAAGTAAATCTGGGTTCCATATACACCGTCTTCATTGTTCCTCTTCTTTTTTTTTTTGAAGTATTTTTCCCGTGTTCAACACATGCATGAACATCATGTGTATGATTGGGCTTTCAAAAAGTGTGTCTTAATTTTACAGATTAATTCAGGCATGCATATATGAACCAATTATGTAGTAAAAACTCGTTACAACGATGCCATTTTATTTTGAAGGAAACTTTTTCTATCGTATATATAGAGGCCTAAAAAGTGGTTTCGTTTTTAGGAATTATTCATTATAACGAAATTCGTTGTAACGAGATTCTATTTTATTGTATGGAATGCATTGTATTTCCGGTGGTATACGAATGTCATGGCAATTATTCAGAGACTGTTTTTTAAAGAAAAAATTCGGTATATGGTGAATATCTTCAAGATCAAATTGCCGAACGTTGAAGAAATAAATTTAGGATGTTCGGTTTGAAAAAAAAAGTGAATCGAAGTACGCACAAAATTTAGATTCATTGAAAGGCGTTTTTCTCGCATTTTAATTTTCTCGATGAAATTATCTTTTTTTTTTGGCGATTCAGTAGGCCTTTTGTTTTTCAGAGAGAGAGAAAGTTTTAAATGCTTCAATGATGACATTCGGCTATTTATTTTTTAATCATGAAACGCGAAATGAATAAATGGACATGGAGAAGTACCAAGAATTTTGGCAAGATTTTCCAGCAAAACTTTCAGAATTGAACGTACTTCGAGTATAGGCTCCTTTTTGAATAAAATAAAATTCCGCAAAAATGTGATTAACGAGCATTCTTGTATTTCGCATCATATGTAACAACAATAATGCAATCATTCAATAAATTTTCCGTCAAATCATTTGACAACAAGCTAGCCACCACAAAAAAAAACACATTTTTTTTGTATATGGCAGCTGTTTGGTATAAAAACCAGGAGAAAAAAAAACACAATGATTAAATATGACAAAAATGGGAACATGAAGATTAAAGCATTTTCGCAAGCGAAACTTCCTCCGTTTTTTTTTTTGTCAAAAGGAAAAATTTCGAGCGGTTGTTCCTTCATCAGCTAATTTAAATACGCAACAAGAAAAAATAAAAGAGCGCTAAACTTTCCACTGCCAAAACGGTTTGCACAATGGCACACGGTCTTCAACGTAGCACTTTTGAAACAGCGGACACTTGACAGAGTCGCACAAATTGGCAGGGACGATTTGGCACCTCGCCTTCCCGTCGTCTTCTATGCAAATCTGGTTCGGGTGTCCGCAAATCACGTTTTCGCAAGGGTGTTCTGCGATTGAAATTTTCAAATGACGAAAAAATTGTATGGCTCGAAAAGGTTGTGCAAAATTCAGTGAATTTTGAATTTTTTTTCTTTTAAAAAATCGAAGCTGCGGAATATTATGCTAGACTTCAATTTTTCTCGTACCTTTCCAGTTGAAATTTATGTTTATTATAAAAAATTTGAAATCCAGGCACAGGAAAAGTTTCAGGCACTCAAGGCTTTATTTTTTTTTCATATAATGATACACTGATTGAAAAAAGTGCTTCAATTTTAAAGGTTTAATTTCGTTTACTTGCACATTGAATAAAATTAAATCCAAGAGATGAGCAGTAATTTTTCCCCGGCTTAATTATATGTGAAAATATTTCGTGAATTCTCGGAAGTGAAATTTACTTCCGGTTAGTGTAATGCAAATGTATCTCTATATTGCAATAAAATGAAAAATGTATTATTCCCTAATCACTACAAGAAGCATTTTGTATTAGTTTGATTGAGGAAACGGATTTTTAAATATATATGATTAAAAATGTTTAAAATGAAGTTGAATCCATATTCGAAAAATTAAAAAAAAATCTCGGATAGAAAATTAATTTATAAAATAGATTTTCGAAAGAAAAACTTACTGCGATCGGAACCGGAACCTTCGGTGCACATGGGGTCACAAACCGGACATCGGTTCCCGAACTTGAAGGTCGCTCCGCAGCCGGGTTTGCAGGATTTCGGCGAATAATCCCGGCAGAAATTCGGCACGCACATCAACGAATTGTCCACAACGTCGCAAAACTCGTCTCCGTAGCACTTGTACCTCTGTATCATTTTCAAAATGAAAGAAATAAAGAAGGAAAGAAAAAAAACAGCACTGCACATTGTAAAACTGGATTTTTTTTCAATACAACGAGTTATTCTTTTTTTCTCATTTTTACAATGTGCGTCGTGAACCCAAAATTGGAAAAGTTCAAGGCTCTTTTTTGGATTTTTCCTCGTGTCGTATCCACTCGGAAACGTGTTTCTGATGTAATGGAAATTTCGGAGAAGAATGGGGATTCAATCAAGCATGCACTGGTTTGACAAGCCCATTGTCTTTTATATTTCTTGCCAGGAATTCATATCCTGTCCCACTGGGATAACACACTTCCTGTCAAGCACTTCTTTCGATTTTGAAAACCTTCTTCTTTTTGCTAGTACTGTATTCCTCTGGTTGTAAACGGGAGAATGCAGAAGATCAGTTCTTTGAAATTGAATCAGTACTTATAATTCTGTTTTCAATATGAATATGGGGGCGGAAAACAGGGAAATGTCATCTGATGAGTTTTTTTTTTCTGCGGGATTCGATATAATCGAGAATCAGTGATTTTCTTTGTATGCCTTATTGACATTTTTAAAAGCAGTACATTTTTACAAAATGCATCAACATCTCGTTTTACAGGGATTGGAATTACAGCACATTTTTTCTAGTCATGGCAGAAAGCCTTTAGAGAAGATGTGGATACAATCTTGACATGACCAAATTCCGGATTTCTGTAAAACAAAAATGTTTGAAGAATTTTACCTAGGCTCTCCATCAAGAAGAAATTTATGCAACTGATGGAATGCATGATTGAAGTTTTTTGCAGTAGATCACTCAATTTCTCAATTAAAAATGAAAAAATCTGTGAATTCCAGAGAACTAATATTTAATTGATTTTATGCATATATGATGTAAGAAATATATTCCTGTCATTAATTTATACAAATTTTTCTGACAGAAAGTATGCATTTAAACTAGTTTTTTCTGAAGTCCCCAAAAGTTTCTTGTGATGAGATTTTTCTGTAAACATTTAATAATTATCAAAGTCGGTTTCTCAAATTCCGTCTTCATCCAGTTTCATGCTGAGGATGAGAATATTTTTGTGGCATTTTTCGCAAGAAGGCAAAGGTTTCCATAATATTTGTGAATTTTTCTTATTCCTTGAGAAATGTTGTATCTACCATGACTCAGATTNTCTCAAATTCCGTCTTCATCCAGTTTCATGCTGAGGATGAGAATATTTTTGTGGCATTTTTCGCAAGAAGGCAAAGGTTTCCATAATATTTGTGAATTTTTCTTATTCCTTGAGAAATGTTGTATCTACCATGACTCAGATTTATTTGGGTCTAGCAATATTCCAGCAACAAAAAATCCAGCTAAGATTCATCTTCAAAGCTATAGAGTCTGGGTCTAAGTTTATTTCTTTTAAAACCAAAGTGCTCATATATTTTAAAAATGTATGGCATATATATCACATACCCCACAAAATGGTCCATTGACTTCAGCAGGGATTGGATAAGTTTGTGGGACATCATAAGACCCATAAACCTGTCCCTGTTGGTGCTGCTGTTGTGGCTGATAATAGTTTCCAGTGTATTGTTCCTGCTGGTAGTAGTTCTGCTGCTGCTGACTTTGTTGTGGCTGTTGATACTGGTATTGTTGTTGTTGTTGGGTCCAGGGCTTTGTTTCATGCTCACTGGGGAAAACAACTGCTGGGGTATCCACTGGGTAGTTTCCTACCTGATCATAGCTGAGATTCGAAAAAGGGGTGAACTGAATCAATTGATCATATTTCTCCAGCAGGTAGTCATATTCTTTTATATATGAAAATAAGTGAGAATTAAGGAGAATGAAAAATATGTTGGGACAAAATTAATAATTATCATTTAAATCTGGTTCCACATGTATTCTAGTTCAATTTAGAAACACTTTTTCTGCAATTTAAAAAATTTAGATCAACAAAGAATGGAATATAAATCTTTATTTCAAATGAATCATAAACTTTTCGCTAAATATCGTGGACGCAACAAACCATGTGTAGAATTTCCAAGACAAATGATTTTACAAATTGCATGTTATTATCACTGGATCCAAAAAGATAGAGATCCTTTATTGAAAAATAAATTAGCTCAAAAGAGGGATCCTTTTGAATCTAAAAATATTTAAAATTTTCTGGGCCTCATATATAAAGACGTTCAAAAATATTAGTGACGCAAGCAGAAATGTTACCTTATTTCTTAAGTGAAATAAATTGAAACCCACCAAGCAAGAAGGAAATACAGTATATAATATTGATTTCAAAGAAGAATAACTTTTTAACCTGCACTTCAACCAAAAAAAATCCTTCACGTTAACAAAAAAATGGGGTAAAAAGAGAGGATCCTTTCTATGTAGTCCAAAAGATGAACAATATATGTGATTGAATAATTTGGTACCTCAATGTACTGCTGTACCTGTACACTGACTGCTGTTGGATGGCAGCCATATTAATTGAATACTANAAATGTTACCTTATTTCTTAAGTGAAATAAATTGAAACCCACCAAGCAAGAAGGAAATACAGTATATAATATTGATTTCAAAGAAGAATAACTTTTTAACCTGCACTTCAACCAAAAAAAATCCTTCACATTAACAAAAAAATGGGGTAAAAAGAGAGGATCCTTTCTATGTAGTCCAAAAGATGAACAATATATGTGATTGAATAATTTGGTACCTCAATGTACTGCTGTACCTGTACACTGACTGCTGTTGGATGGCAGCCATATTAATTGAATACTAGAGATTTTAATCTGTACCCTTCAAGGGTTTCAACAAATCAGGTGTGCAGAAGAACAGGTTAAAAAAGATTTTTATTGCAATAAAAGTGTTTATTTGTGAAGGTTATCTTTTTATCTATTGTGTTTTCTGTGAAGAAGTAAGTGAATTTCTTGGGGTTGAAAATTGAAATGCATTTCATCATTTTCTTTTGGGATTTCATAAAAGAAATCCCCGGCTGCACCTCACCGCTGATTTTGTGTTTCATTTTCGAATTTCCACCTCATTTTGTGTGATTTTAACCCACAATATACCTCTGCTCAAAAATAATTGATTCCACAAAAAATTAAGTAAATAACTCACGTTTGCCAGAGGGCAGATGGGTCATCATAACCAGCAGCAGTATCACTGCTGGAAGCATAGTGATGTTGTTGAGCAGAATGTCCATGACTCTGCTGCTGATGATGATTAAGGGGTTGTTGATAGTAATTGGTGCTGATGCCTCCTGTGGCGGGTTCTGATGAAGGTGGCCCGTACGAGGGGCCCGGGGCTGCTGCATACCCCGGGTACCGTCCCACACTCTGACTGTCTGCGTGACTCGACCCAGTTTTGTGCAAATCTCCGCCATGTCTGTTGTGCATTTCCTGCTGGTGCTGATGACGACTGCTGTCAGCTAGCAAACTCACCACTGAAACATTTTCCACATGAAAAAAAAAGATACGAAGTACTGTAGTATAAATAATAATGAAATCAAGTCAAATCTCAGTACAACGAAGCCATCAATAAGTTGAAAGAGCTTCGTTGTAGCGAAAAAAATCGTTATAAATCAACTCATTTAAAATTGTGGCTATTGAGCAGAAACCTAAAAATTACTTCCCATCAGTAAGTGTTTATTCGTTATAACGAGATTCTACATTATAAAACACATACATGCCCTGAAGAAAGGCTTCTGAAAATCTTTACGATTCAAAATATGTGGCATAAAAGAGACATTATATATAGAAAATATACGACATTATAGGTTAACTCATTCAAGATTGTGGGTATATTGAGCAGGGATCTAAAATTATTTCCCAGCAAGTGAAAAAAGGCCTTCTAAATATTTTTAAAATTCAAAATATATACGACATTCAAGCGAAAAAAGATTTTCCATGACTCATCTACATACAGGAATTTTAAAAAAGAACGTATTTTATTTAGTTTTGGAATATTCTTTTGGAATATTTGGAATATGACGAGAATTTCAAAATTTATTACAAAAGTTGTTTTTAAATTCTGTCTAAAATTAAAAAGTGATTTCACAGTATTATTGAAGGGATTTCTTTGTAACGGGGGACTCTGCTGTATATAATATACGTATGCATGCCGTGAAGAACGACCATCAGAAGTTTTTTCCGATTCAAAATATTCAAGAGAAACAAGCACATTTTTTGCTGATTTATTCACGAGTATTCGAGAATGATTGTCTTTCATTTGATTGTGGAATATTCTTAATTCATTGCCGAAAATTTTAAAAGTATGTTAAGTTGATAAAGTTGATTTTCACTCCAGCCCAACCTTTATTTTCAGGTTTTGAAATAGAATCTCATACTTTACGAAGATCAATACATTCTTGGTCAATGGATCATCATAAAAATCACGAAATCAATACATTTAAGGTGTGAAAAAATCTGATTTTCTAGATTTTTTTTCATTATTTTATTTTTAAAAGATTGTGGCTTTCTGTTAAAGTTTGATCCCAAATATTTTGTGCTGTTATATGAACTTTCTTTTGAAAGAAGAGGAAACTTTGAAACTCACCATTAATTAGAAAATTGAAATGATTGAGTAAAAATAATGAACTCGAAACCGGGGATTTGAACTAAAATCTATTGATGTTTTGTTTCAATTCATGTGTGATTATTTTCTGTGAATATTATCTTTTTTGACACATCTTTACAGAAAACAACTCTGGAGAGATTCGAAAAATAGTTATACCTATTATTACACCAGGAATGAAGTCGCATGTATAATTTTTTTTTAATGCAAAAAGTATTCCCAATAAATTAACCTCGATTTTTATTTTTATCTGCAATGCTTTCAGAGCTGGGAAATAATTTTAATTTTTCAAATTCTCCCCGATAATGTATAAAATGATTCTTGGGTATAAATTGGAGTATTTTTCGCTGGTGTATTACAAACCTTGAGAAAAGATGCAGAAAAGGAGAAAAGTATTTCGTCCAGAGGGTGTCATTTTGGTTGTTGTTGGAAGCACACTTTTCAAACAACACAGGATTTTGCTCAACACAAATAAGTGGCGAGGATAACAATACAAGTAAAAAAAAACCGTGACGCTATACCTGCAAGTCTGCTTCTTACTGTCAACGTGTTCCTGGTCTGAACTCGAAAATTTGACCCAGCAACGAACTTTATAAGCTGCCGAAACTGGGCTAAAAGACCGACCAAGAACATCGATGATGAGGAACCAACCTTGCATCTTCTTCTTTTTTTCTTCCTGTGATTTTTTATTATATTTTTCATCTTCTATTCAACCTACTTCTTCTTCTTTTTCTGGTTTCTCAGTATTTTCGTTGTATATATATATTTATACAACTTGTTCTGCTTTCTCAACTGATGACAGCTGCATTTTTTGACCGAATTCGCATTCAAAGAGTGTTTTCCTGGCTTTTTTTTTCTTCCAGGGGGCTATCATGAGGACATTCATTTTTTTTTAGGGATTTTTGAGAAAATATTTTTGCTTTTGGAGGATGAAAAGGTCGTGGCAATGGCTGGAGTCAATGCCATGAAGTGTGTTTCATTGTGACCTAGTTGCATGATTGATTGAATTGAATTTTTTTCTTTTTTTGTGCAGGGGATGTCTTATTTGCATACCAGTGAGCTGAAAGCCCACAGGAATCTCAAGTCATCCAACTGCGTGGTTGACTCCAGGTTTGTGATTTTTGTCATATTTTTATCTGAGAAAGGAAGACATTTTTTTAAATACTGCCTAACCAGCCAAAAAATTTAGTTTGGGAAACAAGCATTTTTAGCGTGGGAAGAGAAATAATAGAATTGCAGAAAATTGTAATGGGAAGTATTCTGAACCATCAATTGATTTTTGAATGATGAGTTGACAGGATGCAAAACTTGGATGAGACATTGGTTCATTTTTACAGTTATTCTTTATAATTGACTTTTATAATTACATCAAATTAAATTTTTATTGCTTTTCTCTTGCCTGTGTCAATAAAATGATGGTGAAAAACCCCCAGAAAATTTGAGTTATGGAGGTGTTCTGAATTTTTCAGTTTTTGAATGCTTTTTTCTGAAGGAAATTCAGACAGGAACTTTAAAAATTTTTTGAAAGAGGGAAGTATTTGTGTTATTGAAGTCTAACTATATTTTTTTATACCTGGAAAATCATTCATCAAGTGCTTTCATTCTTTTTTTTTTGTGTCCACTTGAGCAGGTTTGTGTTGAAGTTGACAGACTTTGGACTTGAAACTTTGAAAAGAGTACAAATGATTCACTCTCAACAACCTGATGAGGAGGACTCTTATGCCTACTGGAGAAGTGAGTTGCTTATAGATTTTATTGATTGATTGATTCTTCTTCAGGGACTCAACTCACTATTTTCTGATTACATTTAAAAACGCGGAAACTGAACCATGCTTCATGTTTGTATCATCTTGTAAATCATTGTAATTGAATGTCCTCTTTAAACCCAGCCCTGCGTAATAATATTAATTACTGCTTCTTGTAAGCTAGTCTTCTCTCATCTCAATAACACCTTTTCTTAGAACGAATTTCCATCACCTTCCGAGGAAATATGAGGGAACTTGAAATTAGGTCATCACAGAATGTCAACAGCAATACGGGTTAAAAGTTCATCTCCTCGCATGCATCTGGGACTAGTTATGTAATTTTTTTACAGATTAAATTCAAATCACGTTACCCTACAATCAATTCTTTCATTTTTTTCTTATGTTTAAAAAAAACTACAGCTAGTGGGGTCCTCTACAGCACTAAGATAAAACTATACCTAAGTCCCTTGATGGAAAAAATTGAAGTACAATTGACAAAAGTATTATGCAATTGGCAAAATATTCTGGGCAATCATTGCATGAATTACAGTTTTGAACTTACATTTATTTTGCATTGATTTTTTAAGTACCATTGCGAAAAAAGAGAGTAAATTTGTTTATTTTTCTAGTACAGTACATGAATTCAATATTTTTGAATTTCAAAAAGCTTAATATTTTAAGGATTCTTTAAACATTAAAAATCTCCAGTTTCTTACCACCTTGAAAAATGGTTGAAATGCACATTTTTTAAAAACCTTAAATCGACAATTTTTCTTGAATTTCTGGAAAGGACTCAATAATTTTCAATCAGAACTTGCTAAAGCAAATCATGTTTTTCACGAGATTATCTTGTGAGGATTATACCTTTGTCATTCAAGGATAAACTGTAACTTGATTAAATTGTAACCCCCCCTCGACCAGGGATTCACTCTGTTAAAACCTTCTTATCTCGAGAAAAGAAAAAATGGTGTGTTTTAAAAGAGAAAATTGCGTTGAAGGGAAGATTTCCGAGTGTTGTTAATGATGGAATTCATTGGGATGCTGGGCTGAATGCAGGGATTATAGCATCAGCAGGGCTTTCATTAATGTGGGGGTCCCGGAGGTATATACATCCTAGTAATCCCCTATTACCCCATCTGCGTCCTCGTAAAGGATAACACGTCCGTAGGTACAAACTACTCATGACCGGGCTCAGAAAGCAAAAGTCCCGTCAAACGGCACGTTCTGTGTCCTGGTCATTGTCTGTATATAGCAACTACTGCTTTTGAACGAAAAAAAATTATAAATAAAAAAGCGATGTTCCATGAACATAATATTTTTGGCTATGTAGGGCTGTCATCAATATTTGCCACAAAAAAGCTTCATGTATACATTACTAAGTTTCATCTGTGTCAAATTGTCCTGTCTCAGATTTCCTCTTTAGAATTATCTGTGGAAATACCCTGGAACCTTATAAAACCCTTTATCTCACAATTTTTTAATCACACTTATACAGTTCTATGAAAATATCAAAAAAGGCCATGTGAAACTAAGGCAATAACCCTGGTATGTGATAAAGAATATATGATGAGACATTATAAGTTATGCAGGCTTTAAAAAAGGTTAGGAGCCAACGGAGGGCTAATATATATAAAAAGGTTGGGTCTTTTTTTGTTGTCTCAACATGATGCTGTCTAAAATTGTCCTTGTCACTGATTGAACCCATCTTGATTTGACCCTGTCTCAAATTGTCCCTGTATCAAATTTTCCCTTTCTCAAACTGTCCCTATCTCAAATTGTCCCCATCTCATATGGTCCCTATCTCATATGGTCCCTATCTCATATGGTCCCTATCTCATATGGTCCCTATCTCATATGGTCCCTATCTCATATGGTCCCTATCTCATATGGTCCCTATCTCANAATTTCTGGAAAGGACTCAATAATTTTCAATCATAACTTGCTAAAGCTCATCATGTTTTTCACGAGATTATCTTGTGAGGATTATATCTTTGTCATTCAGGGATAAACTGTAACTTGATTAAATTGTAACCCCCTCGACGAGGGATTCACTCTGTTAAAACCTTCTTATCTCGAGAAAAGAAAAAATGGTGTGTTTTAAAAGAGAAAATTGCGTTGAAGGGAAGATTTCCGAGTGTTGTTAATGATGGAATTCATTGGGATGCTGGGCTGAATGCAGGGATTATAGCATCAGCAGGGCTTTCATTAATGACCCCCAGGGCCTCCATATGTAGGATCATTAGTGGATAATGGGGTAGACGCAGGAGCATTTCCTATTGTGCAGGCATCCATGTTTGATGAGTACTGGCCCGAGTCTTTCGTTTTCAGGGCAGTTTAGGCACGTTCTGTGTCCTGGTCATTGTCTGTGTATAGCAACTACTCCTTCTGAACGAAAAAAATTATATAAAAGCAATTTTCCATGAGCATAATATTTTTGGCTATGTAGGGCTGTCATCAATATTTGCCACAAAAAAGCTTCATGTATACATTACTAAGTTTCATCTGTGTCAAATTGTCCTGTCTCAGATTACCTCTTTAGAATTATCTGTGGAAATACCCTGGAACCTTATAAAACCATTAATCTCACAATTTTTAAATCACATTTATACAGTTCTATGAAAATATCAAAAAAAGGCCATGTCTAACTAAGACAATAACCTTTGTATGTGATAGAGAATACTATAGTATATGATAAGAGATTATAAGTTATGCAGGCTTTAAAAAAGGGTTAGGAGCCAAAGGAGGGTTAATATGTATACAAATAAGCAGGTTAGGTCATGTTTTGTTGTCTCAACTTGATGCTGTATGAAATTCACCTTGTCACTGATTAAACCCATCTTGAATTGACACTGTCTCAAATTGTCCCTATCTCAAATTGTCCCCATCTCAAATTGTCTCTATCTTGTACTGTCCCTATCTCATACTGTCCGTATCTCCTAATGTCCCTATCTCATATGGTCCCTATCTCATATGGTCCCTATCTCATATGGTCCCTATCTCATATGGTCCCTATCTCATATTATTTCTATCTCCTAATGTCCCTATCTCATATGGTCCCTATCTCATATGGTCCCTATCTCAAATGTGTAACAGGGTCAATTTGAGACAGGGCTCACAATTTGCAACATGGTCATTTTGAGATAGAGACAATTTGAGAAAGGGACCATATGTATTGTCTCTATCTCAAAATGACCATGTTGCAAATTGTGAGCCCTGTCTCAAATTGACCCTGTTACACATTGTCCCCATCTCAAATTGACCCTGTTACACATTGTCCCCATCTCAAATTGACCCTGTTACACATTGTCCCCATCTCAAATTGACCCTGTTACACATTGTCACCAATCTCCCCATCTCAAATTTGCCCATTCTGAATTGGCCTTCTCTTGAGTTAGCCCAAATATCTAATTTAAATTTGTCTGTGAATGATAAATCCCAGAAAGTTAGGTCATCATGAGCTATTTTCAGAAGTATTTTTAATGTCACACCTACTACAAGAGTTAAAAAAATGCTGCATCCAACTAGGAAATTCCTTGTATGTGTTAAAGACTGTAATGTGTGATACATCATAAATTATTCAGGTTTTCACAAAAAAAGGTTGAGAGGGTAATGAAGGCAAAGATTTTTGAAAAGGCCAAGTCTTCGTTTGCTGTCTCTATAATTGATGCTCTCTGAAATTTACCCGGACTAAACTTGACCCTTTCTCAAATTAACCCTGTCTCAAATTGTCTCCATCTCAAAATTGTCCCTGCCTTGAATTGTTGTACAATAGTTTTGAATTGGCTCTGACTCAATTTTCCTGTTTCAAATCGTCTTCTTTTCTCTCTCTCTCTCTCTATCTCTTTACACACACAGGCAAGTTGTGGACTGCCCCAGAGCTGTTGGAGATGAGCAAGAAGCCGCACAAGGAAGATGGCCACCAACAGCACTTTTCATCCCCTGGCAATTACGAGATTTACCAGCGGGCCGACGTTTATTCCTTCGCCATCATCGTGCATGAAATAGTGCTGCGAGAAGGGCCCTTTTTCCTGGGCAACTCTGCTGCTCAGCTTGTCTCTATCTCAAATTGTCTCTATCTCAAATTGTCTCTATCTCAAATTGTCTCTATCTCAAATTGTCTCTATCTCAAATTGTCTCTATCTCAAATTGTCTCTATCTCAAATTGTCTCTATCTCAAATTGTCTCTATCTCAAAATGACTATATTGCAAATTATGCCCATCTAAAATTGGCCACATTTTGAATGAGCCCTGTCTCAAATTGACCCTGTTACAAATTGTCCCCATCTCAAATTGACCCTGTTACAAATTGTCCCCATCTCAAATTGACCCTGTTACAAATTGTCCCCATCTCAAATTTGCCCATTCTGAATTGGCCTTGTCTTGAGTTAGCCAAAATATCTAATATAAATTTGTCTGTGAATGAGAAATCATAGAAAGTTAGATCATCATGAGCTACCTCCAGAAGTACTTTTAATGTCACACCAACTATGAAAGTAAAAAAAATCCCACATCCAACTAGGAAAATCCTTGCATGTGTTGAAGACTGTAATGTGTGTTACATCATAAGTTATGCAGGTTTTCTCAAAAAAATGGTTAAGAGGATTATGAAGGTGAAGATGTTTGAAAAAGCCAAGTATTTTTTTGCTGTCTCTATAATTGATGCTCTCTGAAATTTACCCAGGCTAAACTTGACCCTGTCTCAAATTGTCTCCATCTCAAAATTGTCCCTGCCTTGAATTGTTGTACAATAGTTTTGAATTGGCTCTGACTCAAATTTCCTGCTTCAAAATGTTTTTTCTCTCTCTCTCTCTTTATGCACACAGGCAAGTTGTGGACTGCCCCAGAGCTGTTGGAGATGAGCAAGAAGCCACACAAGGAAGATGGCCACCAGCAGCACTTTTCATCCCCTGGCAATTACGAGATTTACCAGCGGGCCGACGTTTATTCCTTCGCCATCATCGTGCATGAAATAGTGCTGCGAGAAGGGCCCTTTTTCCTGGGCAACTCTGCTGCTCAGCCACATCCTCAAGGTGAGTGGCCCAATAAACTTGACAGTCTCGGTCTGGAAATGAGGTGACCCAAGTGCACTGGTTATTCTGCCTGCCTGTCCTGTATCCCAGCAGCACTGCTGGGTTCTTGACCCGGAACAAATGCCATTCTTCCATGCCGAATAAATAATGACACGAGTATTTTTAAGTTTTTTGTTTTCTTTCTTTTCTTCTTCCGCCATCATCAAATAAAGGAAGAAGAAGAAAAAGAAAGCTTTCATCTTGTTTTTTCTTCTTCTTTGCATCAGTTCTTCGCTTGGACTGAAAACGATTGAATTTCCTCAGACGAGGATTCATGTCAGCAGTTCGCGGGAGGAAAAACAAATATTCGAAAATCATGCCAGTTATTTCAGCAAAAATAAAAATGAGGAAGGTATTCAGAAGTTTTCTGGTACTTGATGTTTTCCGGGACAACCATCAAACGTCTCATCATATTTGCGCGAGGAAATTGGAGATGAGGGTTGAGACGATCTTTTTTCGCCCTACCGTTGTATATACTGTAGTATATCTTATTTAATTGACAGAAATCGAGGAAGCAAAGTTTTTGGCGCTTCTCTTATTGATACTGTGTGATGGGGATTCAATATTGATGAGGATTTAGCGCCTGCATTTGTTCCCCAGCAGGTGCGCGACAAAGGGATGGATTCAGCATTGATCCCTTGACCACCACATATAAGGAGATTGTTTGCCACCCCAGCACCAAGACAAGGGATCTTTCCTGAAAGTCCCATAAATTTTTTTATACGTATGCATGTGGTGAAATTTTGAATTGTCTTTTCCTTGATATTTGTGTTCCTGAAGCAAGTCCAAATTTTAGCCTGGAACCTTCTCTTCAACAGTATTTTGAATTTTCAGAGGTTTTTATTCATGTTTCGATATAGTAGGGAAAATTTAATTCACAGAAATCAAAAGGTTGTTCTGCAACATAGACGTTTAGATCCAGTGAAAATTTTATTCAGCTTAACTATTTTAGGCAGTTGTTTTTGCTCTAACGCCAATGGAAAAAAATATCAACACAGATTTTAAGGCTGAAAAACTGAGTAAAATCAATTTTAGCAGAATAGAGTTATAATTGATAAACAAAAACCGTAAATGGACCAAAATAATGATAACTTTCGCAGACCTTTTTCAGAATTTTTTATGTCACTTATATTGCTGGTGTTTATCAAATTGCAAAATATCCTGATTAACTATAAAAAATATATAGAGAGAGCAGAAATATTTTATGAGAAGTGTATGAAGTTCAAATCCTGGAATCAGAAAAATTCATAATATTTGCTCAGATTTTAACTTGGCTTCTTACAAATGATCTCTTATTTGAAATTGCATATTGAAAACTTTCTGTAAAATAGGCTTTCAAAAAATTTTACTGTCATGGCATATATGAAAACAAAACGTCTCTAATTCACATATTTGTCTTTATATTTTTTTTAAATAAGTTATTCAAGGACCATTTTTCAAGTTACATAATGAATGCTACAGACTGTAGGCCATGAAAAAAGCATGAAATCAGAAAATAATTAAGATAACAGGATGCATTTCAACTGGAGGTTGTTTTGGAGAATTAACTTGGAATTTTGAACAGAGGTTCTGTAAACCCATTTTCAGGGTTTGGGTTCGGGTTTCTTCCCTGCTTCTTCCGCGTGTATTGGATTATAGAGGGTTGGGCCCAGAATTGATCTTTTATTCAACAGGAGGCCATGGAATCCCTAGGGAGGCACTGGAGCAATTTTCCTCCACTTTATGTGTGCTTAATTCTATCCCTGTATAAAGTATTCCATGGGAAACAGGCACATCACAAAGGAATCTGCAAGCCATTTTCTATAGGGAAACTCGAAATTGAATTGCATTGTTTGACAGCGATTCCTAGGAGTTTTTGAAAGGCAGTTTCTTCTGCATTTGAAGAAAAAAATTATGCTTCATAAGTTATAGGAAACTGGTGTAATCCTAGAAATTCTCAGTGACTTGTTTTGAAGTTTTCCTTCTGAATGCCTATTTCTTTGGAAGGAGAAAGACAAGGTAGGTTTATCATGCACATGTTCCCTTCTTTTTGTTTTCCAATCTTTTCTCATTACCTCATGTTAGGTCGTGACCCATTATACAGTATATACACAATAATACATGTGTGTGTATATTTATTTCTCATTGCTGGCAGTGACAGATGGAAATCAGTTGCAGTCTGAATAAGTTGCTTTCATGTGAAATTTAATTTGAACAGAAGTCATGAAAATATTTCCATATGCAATGCAAACTGGTTCATGATGAGACCTGGAACTAATCATGGCTGGAGGAATCTGGGATTTTCTCAGGCTCTTGGATCTTTAGTGGCCCCCCGCCTAACAGACCTCCCGTGTAAGGGATTTTTTCCAAACAGACCAGCTCTGCAAGCAGTTTTTCCTCCCGCCCAACAGTCAGCTCTGCAAGCAGTTTTTCCTTCCGCCCAACAGACAAAATCCGCCAAACAGACTTCCTTTGGTTTAAAATTAGTGTTGAAAATTGAAATTTTTCATTTTTTATGTAATTGAATTCGTGTAAAGGACTTTTCGTCTAACAGACTTGTCCCTTGCATGAATCAAGTCTGTTAGATGGGGGTTGACTGTATATTATTGTAATTGAGCTGTTGAGTTTCTCTTAGTATTGATCAAGAGTGTATCAAGATTCATTGTTTTGAAGCCTTTCAATATTCAGCGAGACTTCTTCAAGATATAATTTGTTGACTTGACCAATAATAATGTCGCAAAATATATTCTTGTTTTTTTTCTCACTAAAGTGTTTCAGTCTCCAATTCAGTCAAGGACACTAAAAATAAAGGGATGTTCTTCAGGTGTACAATCATGATTATGAATTCAGTTGTGAATTCCTCTGAAGATTATTATCATGACTGGAAAAGTGTTGAGGGAAGAGGGCATATCTTGCTGTGTGCTGCCCAGCACACGCAATGTGCGGGAGGATCCTTGCTTGGGATCCCCGGTTAGGAGGGAGGGATCCTGCGAAGTCTGAGTCCTGGAGCCCTGGCAAGCAAAGCCCAGTCTTGGGCGAGACCTTGGGGGAAGCTGCAGTTCCTGATCCCCCACATCTCTGTATTTACTTGTCACCCCCCTTGTGTTTGTGCTTCCAGTTTTCCTTTTACTGAATCCATATCATAAAAACAACCACATAGAGAACATGTGTCCTTTTTTTTCAAGGTTAAATCATTTTGGAATAGAGCAGCAAAATAAACATTTTGGGACTCCACTATATAGGATAAATGTTTTCTGGTCATGAAATGCAAAGGCTGAATTTGAAAAAGACAAAAAAAATTCAAGAAGCAGTGAGTACTGTGAAACAGTGGAAATTCTCATGAGGATATTTGAGTAAGCATTTGAATGTTCTACTGTGATGAAATAAGTAACATATGTTTGTTTATGTTCTTTATTTTTCATGGTTCCTAAAATTTAAGAGTTTAAGAGGCGCTTTTCCCTCCTGCACAATGGACTAAATTCGCATAACAGACTTCTGTTGGTTTGAAAGTGATGAACATAAATGTGAAAATTATTATTTTTTTCATATTTGAATGTGCAAAATAGACTATTATAGTCTGTTGTAATAATTAAGTCCATTGTGTGGCGGTTGATTGGATAAATTATTTGTCTTTTTATTTGTTCAAGTCCTTGATATACATAAGAGGTAAAAGGGGGTCTTTGAAAGTATTTTAAGAAAAAACATAGATGAATATACTCAGGAAGAGTGGGAAAATCCCACATCTGAGAGGAGTGTGTGTGATGATGAAGCGTTTAAACATTCAGTAGTCAATTAGGAAGATGAAGGGCAAGTGGGGGATTATTAACCAAGGTCATGAGGGAATACAGGTGAGGAACTTGATGAAGAGGATTCCCTGCTGCTGGGTGAAGCTGTGGGGGTTGTGAGGGTGTAAAAGGAACTGCGCATTTCCAGGCTTGTCATCAAGCTGCAATTAGTGGAAGGGCTGCTGATGCTGCTTCTGCAGGCTTCTGCAGGAATGAGACTGCCTCATTAGCACTGCTCCCTTCTTCAATTAATCTAATGAAAGGACGTGGCCCAATTTTCCTCCCTGGTGGATGTGGGCTCAAATGTGAGACCTTTGTTTGGTCCCCCTTTTTGTGTGCTTCATCAGCTATGTTTTGAAAGGTGTCAAGTGTTTTCTTTCCAAGTGACTCAACATTTTAAAATTATCCTTCTGAGGACTGAGTTTCAGACACTTGAAAAGAGAGAAGATTGATTTTTAATTTTCAGTTTTTGTTGTCAATGAAAAATGGTGCATAATGTGGAGAGAATGTTCTTCTGAGAGAAATAACAATTTAATGTTTTTCTCATCTTCTCTTATTACCTTTTCATTCAACAATGTCACATAACTTCCAAAGTTAGAATATAAGGTCATCATTACTTTTTAATCTTGCTTTTATCTCTAATTATTCATTGCTGTGGTGTTTGCTAAGTTTGTTTACAAATTGAGGTTGATCCATTGTGTTTTGATTACAGTATTTGTGTTCCTTCAGAGAATAATTTCTTTAAATTTAAATTGTTGTATACATTTTTTGAAAAACTATGGAAATATATTCAAGGTGGCCAGTTGAATATATATTCCCAGCCACAACAACTGGCTCATTACCAAAATGTTATTCATTGAAACCCTCCTATTGGGGGATATCAAACTTACAGTTGGTACAAAACAGTCACCTGGGGTTTTCCCAAAAATGTGTTGAAAGTGTGTGACACCCCTTTATTTGGTTATTTTTTCCAAGACAAACAATTGCATCTACTGTACTGTATTTTCATTATCTTTTAAAAAAGGATCTGGAAGTGGTGATTTCAGAGATACTGAAGAGCTTCAAATTAATTTCAAGTTGGAAAAAAAGAGGTGTAAGTGCTGGCCAATGACGAATGTTGACCACCAGCCAGGTTTCAGCAGACCTCAGGTGCCAACAATAGACCTGAACACAGACTCCCCGACAGGAGCGCCCTCTGTGTCCAGCAGAGACTCTAGCATGTCTTATTGCTCTTCTGGACTCTTGAATGTGGCCAATGCTGAGCTAATGGCATCCAGTGCGAGAAGCAAGTCTAATCCGAATGTGCTGACTTGCCTGTTGAGTCCTAGTTTAGAGGCGCCATCTGACTTTGTCAGAGGCAAGTACAACTGCAATGTGGAATGCAGGTACTGCCAATTCGTCAGCAGGGGTGTCATCTCACCTGTCCGCTCTCCATGCAGTGAGTTCATGGCATTTGACATTTTTAGAAAAAAATTTTGCAAGGCATTTCTGCTGTTTACAGTCAATTTACTCAGCTTTTGAAGATGCTGAGTCTTTGAATAAATTCCTACTCAAGCATATTCACCAATAATCAATCACAAGAATCTCATTTTATCAATGATGTAACGTATTTGAATGCATTTTCATTGGAATCCAACCTGAAACATCCCTGCAATATGTATTTTTCAAACATACTGGGTTTCCTTCAGATTGCATCAAAAACTAGGAAGGAGAAATGAAAGTTAATCTGGATGTTTTTTCTTCAAATTTTACAGAATCAAAAAAGTAACAATCTCAAATTTCTACATGAGTGGAAAGCTTTGAATTTTTGTGCTACCAAAAACAAAAAATTTTCTTTTAGTATGTGCTTTGTGTTATTTAAGTGGAAAGAACCTTTTTCAAATTTAATTTTGATTCAATCTCAGTTTGGTTTTTTGAAGAAAAAAGGATCAATGTTTGTTTGAGATGGCATGATGTTGCTATATGACTGTGAAAACACTATATACTGGATACTGTGTTGCTTTTCTGAGAAAGCTGTATATGGATTTGTTCTTCCTGAAGGACTATAGTAATGATACCAGGATTTGTGGATCCCTTGCATACCCTAAATGAAAGCCGGAAGTCTTCCAAGTGTAGAATAAGTGCTTTTCTGAAGCTTCTCAGAAGACTCCTAGCTTACATGACCTTGGGAGAGTCTGCAATTAATCCAGAGAGACCCAAGCCACGCAATAATGCATCAACAAGAAGCAATGCCCTCAGGGGAGAACTTCCCACAGCCTTGTTTCCAGCTTCCTGGAAAAGAACTGCCTCTGACTTTTTTTCTAGAGCCAGAAAAGTTTTTTTTTTTCAAGTAAAACTTTCAGGCAAGTATGAAGTGATTCATGGCTTTGAATATATTACAGAAGATGGACTTTTTGAATAAGTTTTCTTCTTGTATAGAGAGAAAGTGCCTGTCTAGTGTATAGGTGAGGGCTGTTGGCAGCTAGAAAGGGACAAATGAGCTGAGATTGGGGGCCAATACTTGTCACTGGGAACCAGTGCTAATCCGTCTTCCTGATAGTGTCAGTGTATATCCGTGTCCCTTTTATCTTCAAGACCAGAAAAAATGGCTATACTGTCTTGTCAGGTTCCCCATTTTCTTTTATTCACAGCAACAGGAGATACTTTTAGAAATCTTTTCAAACTCTCTTGTGGGCAAACAAATTGCCTTCAGGAGACCTTCCTTTTTATGTTGTCATGTATGAAAGAGAATGAAGAAAAGCTTCATTTTGTTTCCCCATGTATAGAAAGGAACATCCCTTTTGCAAGTCCAAGACATCAAATGAAAGGGAATTCATGTTAGGAGGGGAGCTGAGCATTTTTCATCTCCTGGGGGAAAATTGAGTTTCCCCATCTCCTCCTCCCACATGCTGAGGGATTTCCTTCTTCATCACCTCCTCTTTTCCGTCCTTTTCATTGTTCCTGGGATTGAGATTATTGATTTCTATCTGTGTATATATATACACCCATAGAAAGAAAAGAGGACAAAAAGTAAGCCCTCATCTTGCTCTTGCAAGGTCATCTTGTATTCTTGTGTCCTCTTGCTGGTGTGAAAAAGTTTTGGGATATTGCATGCTGGAAACTTTTGTAGCATTCTTTGGCAAGGTATTCCTCTCAACTTTTTTCCTGTGTAGAATAATTAGTGTCAGATGTGCAGTTGGAGGAACTTATCCTGTCTAATCTACTGCTGGTGGAATGTACATTTGTGGGAGATATATAAATAGAAACTCATCTTATGTAATAAGAGTAAGTATATTTCTTTAGTTGATTGGTTCACAAGCTTTATTTGCCACTTGTCAGTATTGAAAAGGTTCACAAAACTTTCCTTCATCCTCCACACATAATACATTTGACATTTTCTGGCCTATCAAACATAATTCACTGGATAGCCATTAAAATAAAGTCCATCACAGTTCTTGGAATTGCATGAATTTAATGAATTGCCATCCTTGTATTGATTCCTTCAACAGCTGTTAAGAATGATTTAGTTAAGTTGAAAGTTGATCAAATTTGAGAAATAAATTTAACAAAGAATTTGGTCGGGCTGCAACTGGGGTGAAGCTTCACCCTTTTTTAAGGTTGTTGTACTTCAAAATCACACAAAATGTTTGCAAGTATTCTTGAGTAACATGCACAAGAGTTCAGGCAGATTTGGAAAACAGGAAAGCTGTCCTTCAAGGACAAAAAAACAGCAACAGGATTTAGCAAGAAAAAATAGCCTTGAAGGCTTTGGAAGGAGTGTGTGAACCAAGGTCTTTCTTTATTGGTTCACACAGAGATGAATGAAGACAAGTTTTCTAGGAATTTGGGTTCTTAGATTTTGTGTGACAAATTGTATACTACTGTTTATTTTTCCAACACCAGCAACAAATAAGTTGCAATGAGGGAGTATCCTTTTTGTCAACTGCATTGCCTCTCAGTTATCCTACAAAAAAGGTCTTGATAAGTTTCTGGAACCACTGCCTAATGTAATGCATGGAGAGAAAAGATAATGTTATTCAGAGTAAGTATATAAAGAGGAGCAGTGCAATTCAAAGGCATTTTATTTTGTTTCATTCTTTTCTCTAGCTGGAAATGGAATAATTACTGTTGGAGGGTCACTTCCTGTGAGGAGGACGCTTGTTGTTGGTGGTGTGAAAGAGGCACAAATCACTTCTTTTTTCCCAAAAAGAAAAAAACAAGAACAAAAAATGCAAGTTTTTTTTCGTCTTTATTTTCTGGACCACTGTCTCGACGACTCTTGTTCACCGACGTCGTTCACCCTCGTGTGTAGATATATCTCTCTTTTCCCGAGACGACTCGGACCAAAGGAGAGACGACGACCATGAAGGCTGTATATCCGGTGCTTAATTTGATTAACAGGACTGGTTCCTGCTGGAAATTTCCTTCCTCGGGTCCTGTCTGTTCCCTCATCTCGGGGTCTCTTGTTCCTGGGTTATTGAAGGGCCCAGCAAACAAGGCATGAGAGACACTTTTGAGTGACGCGGTTGCTGCTGCTGGGGAATTCAGGGTTGTCTTATTCAGGACCCATCAGGGGATCTTATTGTTTACATTCCTTAAATATTTGTATAACGTGTCTACTTGAAAAAATAAATAAATAAATTCCATAACAGCAATTGCCAGAAATATTAAAAAAAACTATTTAAAACCCACATTTTCAGCAGTAAGAAAATTCAGGGTTGTCTTCAAGACTCATCAAGGGATCTTTTTGTTCATATTCTATACATATGTATATTACCTTTCTATATACTTGAAAAAAAAATATTAAATGAAAATTTGCATTACAGCATTTGACAGAAATATTTTTATATTTTTTAAACACACATGCTGAGCAGTCAGAAAATCCAGGGTTGTCTTCAGGACCCATCAGATATTTTTGTTCATATTCTATATGAATATTTATTCTGTTTGTAGTTTAAAAATAAGAAAGGAATGGGATTACATTTGACAGAAAATGTTTTTAGCAATTTTTAGCATCACGTGTACTCATATGTCAGACTTCAGCGGGTTAAATTGTCCCTTTTTATCAGCATGAATTCTTCAGCAATTATGATTTCTTTCACTTTTAATTAATATATATACTCAAGGCAATTCTTAAAGCCTTCATGAGGATGCAGGTTTCCTGAAATATTTTTTTATGCAACGCAGTATTTTAAAAAGCTCATATTTTTAACAATGATTTGGGTTGGGTATATGTTCTATAATATAGAAAGGATCCTTATAGGAAACCCTGACATTTACCCTGAATAAATAAAAGACATAGCCTTATTCACATTCCAGTATTGGAATCCAAGTGATGATTCGAACTATCCTTTGCATTTTATTTTCAAAAACTTGAAAGAGAGGTTTCTCAATTTTCAGCTGACATTTTTAATTTTAGCTTCAGTTTTAGGAATTATCAAATGCAGGCTTCATGTGACAATGAAGTCTTTTTTGCTGTAGTGCACTCAAAGCTTGAGATCAGTCATTGTTCACTTCATAAATTGAAGGAGGGACAATCAAATCCAGTGAAAATCGTCACAGAATATTTAAAAGATTGCTTTCACAGTTGCATAGCACATATTTGCCAATAAATATGCAGGGTTTGAAATTTCCAAATTTGGAGCTAAAAAGGCATCCATTATGTAGTTTAAGTTTGTCTTTTTATGCAGATGGAGCATGGATTCTTAAATTTATTGAAAATTGCTAATGAAATGAATAAAGCATGAGTATTATTATTGGTATACAGTATTTGCTGTATGTATACAGTACAATTGGTCAAGAGAATCATTTAAAATTATTTTCAAGAAAGATCCCTCTGAACATATAATGAGGGAAATCCTTCAATTTTCCAGGAGAAGTAGAAAGATCTTATTCTGAGTCTTTCTGGTGCGCTGGAAAGTGTGCAGAATTTCCAAATGCTTTCATCAGAAAATCCTCCAACCCCCCCCCCCCCCCTTCCAAAACCACCATATTTATATATATACAGTATATATATGTACCCAGCAGATATCCGCAGATAAAACCCCCCTTTATTTTCATTCTGATTCCATGTATGTCCCATTTATTCGTCTCCAAATTCTGCTGCTGTTGTTGCGAGATAAACACAGCATGGGTTACTTAATCCCCGGGAAACAAGCCTTTGTGTCGTATGTGACATATTTTTTGTGTCCCTCTCTTCCGGGGAGAAACTTGACCCAAAGGCCACCCCGGAAACTGGGTCACTCCTGGGGGTGGGGGATTGGAATGCGTCACTGTGATTCACTGCTGAGACACTTATTCATTCAGGTCAGTTGACTTGACAACCACAAGAAAAATAGCGTACCTTATAATGATGACATTTTTTATAGGAGCTTTATTTCCCACTTTTCAGCCTTCATGATAATAAGTTCACAAAATGTTCCCACATCCCCCAAAACATATTCAACACAATCTGTCCTATCATAAAAAAAATTACTGTATATACATGCAGGTATTAAAAGAAAATACACAACAGTATACATGTACTGCAAATGCATGCATAGTGAATTGCCATCATTTTCATTTAATGACAAAATCACATCACAATAAGGCAATTATACTGAGCACAAATTGAAGCATAAGGTGTTCAGCCTGTTTCTAGGAAATTTTTAATTAATTGGGCAATTTATACATCTTACAATATTGAAGGAAAGGTCAAATGAAGCTAATACTTTTTGTACAAATTTTAAATAGGGAAAATCTCCCAGATGAGAAATGTACGTACTTGAAAAAGCAGAGAGGCTAATTTTTCTCTTGAAGAGTGGTTTTTACAAAAGTGGGAAAATGCCCAGAGATCTCTCAATTTACAATCCCATATAAAGTATGTCAAGGGGTGTTTTTTAGAAAATGAATCAGTAGACAAATTGGCAGACGCGCAACCTGCCGGAATAAGCACAAACGTGTTCTTGAATTCACACAGAAATTATACAACACTCTTTACAACAAAATATACAACACAGATTTCTTTCTCCCGTCAAGTATTCAAAATCACACAATATTTTTTTGGGTTTTTCTGCAAATTGTTGAGAATTTCAAATAGAGCTTTTGCGGCAAGCAACTTTAAAAATGTAACTGTGTTCTTCTGCTGGCAAGTCTGCCCTTTTATGCTGTTTGCTTCCTTTGTTTGTGTCCAAGGTCCATTGCCAGGAACGTCAAGTTACTTCCTCCAGATCCCCGTAAATTCGGCCTAACTGTCAAGGGGCCAATTTATTGGGACACGGCAATTTAGAAAAAAATGCTTCTTCCCGAAAATTTGGATTTTTGGGAGAAGAGATGGATTTTTTAGAAAATAGACCCTTGTGAAAGGAATCTGTTCCTTTCAAAAAAATTTGACACAGATTGTTTTACGTCCTTGTTTTTAGCAACGCATGCGCAGCAAGCGTCAAATTTCTCATATTTTGGAGTAATTTGGCACCTCATAAAACTGGGGAACCCCTACAATTTTGTTGGGGGGTTATCTCCTTGGCAGCTTAACTGCCGCCAGCTGGCTTTGCCATTTGTCTTTTGGAGCGCCAATTTTCATTTGCAAGCCCCTTTCAGAAATATAATCCACAAAGTTTCTTGGAACTTTGGGGAGGGTCAATAAATTGTGTCAAAAACATGACACAAAGTCTGACTCAGTTGATAATTTCTCACACTTTTTCCTGGATCTCCATGATTTGGGAGAGTATCTTTTTATTAATTTATTGTGAGAAATTTAATTGTTATGAAAATTCAATTTTCCTCCTGCATTGAGAAAATGGAATGGTGTGAAATGTTGGCTCTCTCATTTCACATGCTCTATTTCTTACAGAGACTTGTTCAAGTAAAAGACCATCAACTCTGTTTTATATCCATATATAGTGCATCCAGTTTATAAATGAAGAAATAATTTGTATCTTCATTTTCCCTATTTGAAGAAAAAGCAACAGTTTTGGCAGCATGATTTCTTGAACTTAGTTTTCCTCAGTCAGTTCCCTGATAATTTGCAATTGATCAATAATCAATTGAATAGTAGAACCGATGATGATGATTGTAAATATTACAAATTTTTAGGATGTTCTGCAATGGGATAAGGAAAATTCCACACATTTTTGCATGAGTATTCGATGATCCTCCAGCTCTTTGAGATTTCGTCCAATGCATCAGAGGGAGAAATTCTCGCTCTCTTTCTCTTTCTGTCTGTCTTTCTATTTATTTGTAACATTTCATTCGCTCTTTCTTCAGTTATTCTTTTTTTTTCTGAATGCTGGTTGACGAGGAGATCTTGTTTGCTTCGGAAGGGGGAAGAAATGTGGGAGAACTGATGCTGAGAGTTGATTGATCCTCGCGTATATAAACGAATATATACTACATATACTATATAGGAAACCTGAGCGAAACCGTTTTTCTCCCTCTCTCACACCCTCTGTTTGCTGCTTTGCTGGCAAAAGGACTGGATCAGTCCCCTGCTGGAAATTACGTATTCTAGCTTCGTCTGGGACCAAGTGATTGCTTCTTTGCCACTCACTATATATGCTGAGAAAAATGTCAAGAGCATGATAACAAAAAATACATGGGATTTTCCCCCCACAAGTAAATCCGACAACAAGAAAACATTCAGGGCACTGATGAAATGGCTTCTGTCACTATATAGCATTTAATGTGGGTGGCTATTCTCCTGCTTTTATGTGATTGTGGTGTAGAGATTGTCTGACAGGTGTCGCCTGAATCGCTGATCTGTCTGAAATGATAACTGCTGGGGACACCTGAAAACCTATTTAACCCAATAAGAAAAAAGGCAAACTTATTATGCATGAAAAAATTGGCTTCACTTCACACAGGTTTTAAATTTCATATTTGAAAATACAAAATGAATACTTTTTTTCCTTCAAGTGGCCTTAATTTCTAGGCTGTCATCCAGGTGTCACCTGAGTGCTGAGACATACTTTAATTTCCTTAATCAGAACCAAGCATGCAACTCACTGCACAGTATTTCAGATTCCTCTTTTTGAATGATTTAAGATTTAATTTGAACTATATGCAGCATTCTAGTGATCTATTTATGCATACAAATTTTAGCTTTAACTTATGAAAAACTGGTAAACTTCTGTTGGGAGAAATAAGAAGAAAGAAGAAATTTCTGAATTGTTTATAATATCCCTGGATCCCAATAAAAGGATTTTTTTTGCATAGAAGCAGGATATAGCGATTCAGCCTGTAATATAAGTAACTCACTTTAGCATGTGATAGAGGCGACACCTATGTGATGGAAAGTGAAAATTTGAGAGGTATGGACACTATTTATAATTGCTGAAAAGCCAGTGCTGGTGATTTATGGTGTCCCATTAAGAGCAAAATAATATGAGATGGAGTTCCTGAAAAAGTGTTTATGGCCCAAATCTGTCACAATGGTTGCTGGGTTAATGGAAAAACCCGCGCGCACCCAAAACCTGTCCCTATTCTAGTTTTTGAGATGAAAAGCAAAGGAATCCCTTCTTCCCTGTCTTTCTTTCTTTCTAGAAAAGTTATTATACAAAGTTGGAGAAAGCATTTTTGTTGGAAATGAGGAGTGAGCTTCATTCAAAGTCTGTTCTCCAGGTTTTTCTTTGTTTCTTAGTGTTTGTCTGGGAAGAGGAGGTTCTTGAACCTTTGCAGCTGCCCGGGAGGATGCTGCATGGGGGTTTTATTCAGTGACCCTGTTTCTTTCATGCAGCAGGAATTGAGAACATCGACCCCCACAGTGGAGAAGTTGCAGGCTTTGCCTGGGTCTCATATATATATGTGCTAAGGGGGTTGCTTTCAGGAAAAATGGGGGGGGGGGTATGTATGTGGGGGTGAAGCTGTCCATTCCTTCTATTCCCATTCAGCACAACAATTTGTTGCCAGACCAGCCACCCATTTGTTGGAGGGTCATTATTTCAACAACCTCATCTTGGATTTTTTTTTAAAAGACAATTGGGAAACTCATCAAAATGTCTTTTTCTATATTTAAAAATTTTTATATGCAAGCTTCCATGAAACGTTTTTATTTGGTGTTCACAAGGTTCTCAAAATGTTCCCACATCCCCCACACATCCAAAATCAACATGGAATATCATTTTATTTAGGGAAGACATCATAAACGTACTTTTATTTTATGTAATGTCATTTATATGTTTACTTATTTATTACTTAACAGTAGGAAAAAAGGTCCTTTCCCTTTTAGTTTAGTGTTCCATATTAATCTGAGTTACTCAGACTAAAGCACAAAGGGTTCAGCCTGCCCCCATATAGTTTTTAATTGAAAAAATAACATGAAAATAATATTTGAAGAGAAATCATTTAAAGATAACGCTTTTTCCTGCTGGTCCTCTTAATATTTGGCAGTACAGTATGACCTTTTTTATAAAGTTGTGACCAGTTAGATTATTATGAACATTTAATTATTCTCCTTTTGAGGAAAAACAAAAAGTGTCCATTTTAAATCCTCTCCCTTCATAATTTCAAATTACAAAGATATTTCAGTGTTGGCAGTACAATTCATTGATTTGAACTTGATTTTACACAATGCTGCAGGAGGATCATAACCTATTTTATGCTTCAGTAGAAACTCATTTGAGAGAATTCCCCATCTACCAGCAAAATATTCCCCCCAGAGAGAGTATTTTAAGCTACTTATAGAACTTATGAATTTTTTGACCAGATGTCACTTTTTCGAATTTAATTTTAGAGATTCTGCTTCCAAAACATTTCTATAGCTTTGAATTTTTGGAATGTGAAATATTTTTAATTCATTTCAGAGGAGATTAAGAATTTTAAAATAAATCCCTTCTGTAGTATTTGCATGAAAATAAAATACATTACAGTAAATATACAAATGAATAAATAATGAATTGTCATCCTTTTTTCCAGGAAAGGGAAAATCAAATCACAAGGTATAATTAATGAGTTACTCAGACTAAAGCACAAAGGGTTCAGCCTGCCCCCATATAGTTTTTAATTGAAAAAATAACATGAAAATAATATTTGAAGAGAAATTATTTAAAGATAACACTTTTTCCTGCTGGTCCTCTTAATATTTGGCAGTATGACCTTTTTTATAAAGTTGTGACCAGTTCGATTATTATGAACATTTAATTATTCTCCTCTTGATCAAAAACAAAAAGTGTTCATTTTAAATCTTCTTCTCTTCCATAATTTCAGATTACAAAGACATTTCAGTGTTAGAAGCACAGTTTATTGATTTGAACTTAATTTTACACAATGCAGGAGGATCATAACTTATTTTAGGCTTCAGTAGAAACTCATTTGAGAGAATTCCCCATCTACCAGCAAAATATTCCCCCCAGAGAGAGTATTTTAAGCTACTTTTAGAACTTATATTAAAAAACTGGTCTACAGTGAAAAAGCTTAAATTAAAATCTCTAAGACGAAGGTTTTGTAAAGATATCGAAACTTAAAAACCTTACACTTTATAAAAATTAAGTAAAGTCTCCTCTAATTCTTAAAGAAATATATTTGGATTAAATTATAAAGAATATATATTTGAATAGTTTCTCTGTTTTTTCTTCATTTTTATGATGATAATCAGTCGTCACTGCAGGAAAACCTTCTGCTGGTGGCTGTTGTTTGAAGAGAGAAACATGTTCTGGGTTTTTGATGAGCTGGTGCTAAAACCCGAGGAAGAAAAAAAAATCACAGGAAAACCCCCCGGGGGTCGATCACCTCATCACCCATGTCTCGGAATACAAGGGATCGACCCCCTCGTGAATGTGATGATACCGCAGTTATTGGGGTCTTGTGGGGCGTTAAAAAAGGCACCCCTATGAGAGCTTAAGGAAGGGTCTAAACGACCGGTAAGCTTTTAACCTGTTTTCGGCATCTATTTTATATTATTGCGCGCGTATCAAAAAATTCCATTTTGGAAGAAATATAGCCAGCAGTTTTCTGGAGAACCCTGTTTGTTCCAAGAGCACAATTGGAGTTACTCTTTTTTGGGGGGGAATTGGCACATACTCAATGACCCCTGCCAGAAGCTCTTGCTCAGTAAGCTGATGAGATCCTCTTCACTCATAATTGGATGCTTTCCAGCTGTGTGACTTCTTTCAGCACCAGAGGAATAAGTTGTGACAAGAAGAGGATGAACAAAAAGAATACAGCACACATATCCACAAAAAAATACAGACAAATGCAGGAGTTCTGAATGGAATTTCTTTCTTCTTGTAATTTTGCAGAAATTGTTGAAGCAGTCAAGAGCCATGATAAGCCCTTCTGGAGACCAGCAATCAGTGATGATACCTGCGATGAAGAAGTCATCAGGATGATGAAAAGCTGCTGGGCTGATGAGCCCCTGGAAAGACCAGATTTCCAGCAGCTCAAGGGCATCATTCGCAAGCTGAACAAGTGAGGTTTTCCAAATAATCCCCTCTGGCTTCAAACACTCTATCCCTCATTTAGGGTATTAACTTAACCCAAGGACAAAAGGAAACATATGATAAAGTAACAAAGAACACCGGCAATAATCAGCAAGTTTACAGCCAAGAACGTACTGTTTGTTCAAAGCGACACCTTGAATATACATTCCCGGTGCCTTTCAGAATGATTTATTGTGTAATTTGATGGCAAAGAAATAATACAATTAACAAGAAACACTAGAAACCCTATGCACATGTGAATGAAGCCAATTT